TTTTAAGGGCAGGACAGCTGTCAGCAACACATCCAATATCATCACACTGATTGGAGTCAAGGTTGGCTCACTCCTGGCTCCAATTAGCTCTGGGAGAAGTCATTAAGCTAGGGCCTCACATACTTTTCCTCCCTTCACTGTGAATGTTTACATGTTATGTGCAATTAAACCATGGCAACATCTAATGTTTGTGTAGTATTATGTTCAGCAGACTGTGTTCTTCTATTGTTGTGACTTAGATGACGTTCAGAGCACATTTTATGCCCAATTCATGCAAAACTCCACGTAATCTTAAGGGATTCACATACTTTTCATTAGCTCCCACAGTAAGGCTTGAATGTTAGGTGACATCATGGTGGACCCAGAATAATGACATCGCCACACAGCAATCCTAACAGGATTTTCTGCATATGCTTCTGCACATGGGGAGTCCTACAATGACCCACACTGAGCACTCATGGCAACCTGCCCCATACGCAGTGCATATGGCCCTCATGAATGAAAGTGCCAGATATTGTAACCTGGATTTATGTTACTTAGATCAGTTCCAGTATTCTGACGTGAATTAAGTGTTAAGGTTGAGTACATTTCTTCTCTTTTTGGTGCCCAGGTGGAGCTTTATTGCTTTGTAGTCTTGTTAGCCTTCTGATTCAGGTGACATTTCCTAAATGTTGTGAGAGTATGGGTGTCGCATCTGGTGAATGTCCCCCGAGTCTTCTGCTAGGTGCCCTGGGTCTGGCCATGCTCAGCTTCCTAACAGGTACCATGTGGTAGATTGTTGTTTCACTAAGTACTTGTGTAGTTCCAGTGCCAACGCACAGGACACAGAGTCTCCCCTATTTCAGCTTAGTAACTATTGACACCAATGATACATTTAGCTCTTACTGACCAGTAATGTAAGGAACTTCACCACTGATCACCAACATAAGGGAGCAGTTTCCTACTGACCACCAACTTCCCTACTGATGCAAAGGGGCATTTTGCCACAGAACACCAATGTAAGAAGCAACTTTTCTGATGTCCACCAACGTAAGGGGCCATTTACCACTGACCACCAGTAAAAGGGAAAACTTTACCTGTAACCATTAATGTAAACAGACACTTCACCACTTACCACAAAATACACTCTCTAAAGCTTTTAGCTCTGTGTGCCCAAAGGTGCCCTAGGTCTTTAGCGACGCCCCTGGGTAAGAGGAAATTCCACCTATAACATTTTCCCCACCTCTTTTCTCTGAAATGTTACAGCAGGTTCTAGAGGATATTATTTGAAGCCAGTGTATAGGAACCAGTGTTCCTGCCCTTGTAGGAACACCAGCTCCTACATGTTTTCCAATATTTGTAAAATTATTTTCTGCCTGCAGAGGCTTGGGTCCTTTGCATCCTTGAGAGCAACTGAAGCTCTGGTCCTCCCAGTAGTTATGTTTTTTAGTGCCTTTTTATTATCCACTGTGGGGCACAAATATCAAAACAACCCAGGGCTGATTCACTTTGGCCATCCATTGGCTGCATGGGACAGCTCATACAGCAGGTGCATCACCATATGTTCACACCCATAGTATGAATGGTTTCTTGGTGTAATGAAAAATCTCATTAGTTAGACCAGTGGTGGACAATTTTTTTTTATACAGAAGGCCTCAAGAGTGGCCCTTGCCAACACCAAAAGGCTGCCCATAATATTCAGTGAATATGCTACAGAACTCTGTCAGACTGCAGACATGCTATAGAAGATGGAGACTATGGGTATGCTGCAAGAGATAGGCAGAGGTTGCAGGAATGATACAGGATATGGTCAGAATGGGCACATTCTTCAGGAGTCATAGGCAAGAGACACATTACATGTGACTGCTAGAGATCTCTGCTATTACAACCACTTTACAAATCTGTGCTTCCACGTCTTCTCCCTACAAACCTTCGATATCTAAGCTAGATCTATTATAAAAAAATTAAGATAGTGTAAAAGAAATTCACTGAACCATTCAGCTACTAGAACCCAATTTAAAGAATATTTTCTTTTTGAATGCCTGAATAAAACCCTATTGAAGGAAAACAGAGTGATTTAATGCCAAAGAGCTCTCTACCCTTCCAACACTGCATGTGCTAGTAAAAAGATATGTAATTGTAGCCAGGTGCTTGGCTAAGAATCGAGAGTGAGTAAAACACTGGCTACAGCTTCTCTTTGTAGCTGATGTCTTGTGGTGCTGAGCTTGATAACAGTTAAATCAGCAAGAGGAGGGAGCTCCTGAGCAGGAAGAGTTCAATAGACTGAGTCAGGCAGCACTGCACTGTGGGGACTGTAGTCAGAGGACAGAGACTCTACTGTAATCAAGAGCATTTGAACTGCATTTACCAGAGGGAGATTGCTGCATATCTGCAGTGTTAATAGGATCCAGGGTGACAACAGCCAGAATCACCTGGGTGCAGAGCAGAGAGTGGACCAATCCCTGTGTGTGACCGGATGGTGAGCTGCAACTTTGCTGGGACTGGTGGTCTGCTGCTGTGGGGTTTTACTATCTGCTGCTAGAGAGATTGAATCCTTTAGGAACTGCCTATAAAGCCATCTAGTTGCCTTATTACTGCCTGCAGGATTGACCGGGACTATTCTCATGTGCATCAACGGTACAATTGGGCCTCAGTGCTAGCCGGCTGAAGAGTTAGAACTAAAGACTGCCCCTTTATAGCTACTACACAGAGACCTTTGCTTATTGCTTATGCTAAGATATATCTCTCAGGGGACTTTGCACCATATTCTAGCCATCCTCCTAGAGTGCACTCTAGACTAGTTATAGTATATTATTCACATTGCAGTTAGTGCTTATATGCACTGTTTATTGCTGACTTTGCTGATTCGTGAATTAATTCCAGTCTAGTGTTATAGAACGTTACCACTTTACCATGAACTCTAACCTATACCAATACATTGAGTTTATTTACCACTAAATGGCCTTGTGTTAGTTTCCTGATGCTGATTCACAGTCAAGTTAAATGTATCCACACTTGTGTTCTTATAAGTGCATGAAGTAACTTTCACTCAGCCAGGTGTGTCAGAGGGGCTGAGGTTGTTCTTGGAGTTCAGCCGTAGGACAGAGAACCCAAATTACCCAGCGAATCCTTTGGGGTAGCGGTACACGATTCTCCTGGTACGTTTTGTGCTTTACCAGTCTAAGCGATTAGCAGTTTTTTTTAATACTAGCACTGAGCCAGTAAACAAAACTAGACTACAACAAGATAACCAGTTGAATGGGGTTTAACCAAGATAGGCTAGCTTTAATGGTCATGTGACATAGTCAACAAGAATTCTCCCCATCATCTGCCCAAACTTTGCTTTAGTTCACTTGATTACCTAGTTCTATTAGCTTTTGGCCAAGGCTCAGCCCACTTAGCTGCTGGAAGTCAGTACTGTTGCGGGAATTGCATCAGATATGTGTGCGATAGTGCTGGAATGATCGAAGTGAGACCTGGTTCTGATAGATATAAAGTGGTGTGCGTCTTCATTCAATGGAGCTGATTTGTGATGAAGGTAAAGTGTAGGTGGACCTTGTTCTGGTTCTAACCTGTTACCTCTCTGATCACAACAAAAGGAGTGCTCAGCAGATGATAAACTCTAGGATTGGTTTTGAGCGCCTAGTACAGTGGTTTATATCACTTAAAGGTCTTTTTGAAATGTTTACTGTTTAAAGCGATACTAAAGGTTCCATTTTTTTTCATTTTTTTAAATAACAAGCATGTCATACTTGCCTGCTCTGTGCAGTAGTCTTGCAGAGAGCAGCCTGGGTCCTTCTCTTCTCGGGTCCCCCCCCTGCTGGCGCTCCTGGTTCCTCCTTCCTGTCTGGTGCCCCCATATCAAGTAGCTTGCTATGGGGGCACCTGAGCATGCGCGCTCCCAAGCCACTGTGTCCATTCACACATGGAGCTTCAGCTCGGCCCCACCCCCTCTGTCTCCTCATTGGTTCACTGGATGTGGTTGACCGCAGCAAGAGCCAATGGCTCCCGCTGCTGTTTCAACCAGTGAGGAGGCAGAGACCCGGGACAGGTGAGGTTCTCGTGGACATTGCTGGATCCCGATGGGGCTCAGGTAAGTGTAATAGAATGCATGAAGGTAAAAAAAACGTTGAGCCTTTACAACCACTTTAAGAGCATCCAATACTCCCAATGTGTTTTGAAGGAAAGTCCTCCTCTTTTTTTCAGGGCTTGAACACTGAATGTGATTAGGTTCATGAGATACAGTAAATGACCTATGTTAGGGCTTTATAAGGAAAGTGATTTCTTAAAGTGGTTGTAAACCTCAGACATGAAATATGAACAAAGCATCTCTCTGTATAGTGTGTACTTATCTCGGTTTAAGTGTCATTTCTGTCTGCTGCCTTGTTCTGAGCATGAATCACTTCTGACAAGTATTACTGAAAATTGGTGACAGGAGAGGGACCTCCCAGCAGTTTGACAGCCTTAGCTCTGTTCTGTGTGTGTGTGTGTGTGTGTGGGGGGGGGGGGTCTTCCCTCCAATCAGCTCTCAGAGCTCTCCTCAGTGAGGTCTGCAGTGTGTAATTTCAGCTCTCCGCTCCCTTTTTTTTTTTTTTTTTTTTTTTTTTAACTCTCAGACAAGTTCTATAAATTCAGCACTTTGAACATATGTAGAGAAGACTGCAGATAGACGGGTACAACTTATATAGGAGGATTTCTTTGATCTCTGTGTATTAACTGAGGCTTCACTGGGTATATGTAAGGGTTTACAACCACTTTAACAGTTCTGTTTCTTTTTTTTTCTTTTTTTTTCAAAACAGTTGCAATGTTCTTGAACCCCCAATCACATAATTATAACCATGTAAGCAAAGTTATTAGTCTCACAATGGGCATGGTGGGTAAGATGGTGATTAAGCTCCTTTCCGTTGGCCTGACGCAGGGAGACAATTTGTGACCAGTTTCTAATAAATATTCAAGCTGTTTATAGAAGAGTTGCCTCCATTGTCTTCTAGCATTTGAACAATTGTGTTTTATCTCTACAGGATTCCATCAGTAAGCAGCTGGTGTACAGTATGCACCAATTACAAGGAAATATGCAGTATGGCACAGAAAAAACATGGCTATCTGTACAAAAAGAGTGACGGGTACGTAATTGTTCCAGTCAGAATCAAATGACCTGTATCACATTTGTCCCTTTTTTAAGTGATTCATTCATGCCAATATGGAGAAGGAGCAGGGGCGGACTGACCATTTGGAAACTCGGACATTGCCCAAGGGCCCAGGGTCAGTAGGAGGCCCCATAAGATGCCCCTGGTACCTTTTTCATAGGCTTTTTTGAGTTTGGGCAAGGACACGGGCCCCATGATCCCCTATTGCCCGGGGGCCCCATGAGTTGTCAGTCCGCCCCTGAGTAGAAGGCACTATATGAACTATATACCCATAATTTTGAAACTGGCTAAATTGTATACTGTGAACCCCTATGGACCTATAATGCATGTGGTTTACAAGCAGGGGCGGACTGACCATTTGTAAACTCGGGCACTGCCTGAGGGCCCGGGGTCAGTAGGGGGCCCCATGAGATGCCCCTGTTACTTTTCTCATAGGCTTTGAGTTTGGGCAAGGACACAGGGGCCCCATGATCCCTTATTGCCCGGGGGCCCCATGAGTTGTCAGTCCGCCCCTGCTTACAAGTACACTTTTCTATAGAAGTCAGAGTAGCTTTTCTAGGGAACATTGTACCAAGATGTAGACTTTAAAATAAGAATATCACCCAATCACTAAAATATAGACTTGCAGTACATGGTAATGCAATTTTAAAAGTCATTTCAATCTTTTCAAATCTGTAGCTTTTATTAAATCAACATCTGGTCCTGCCATAAAAAAAAACTGTGTTCAGGCATTTTCAATTATAGGGTGACAATGCTCTGCCCCTGTCTCCCAATTGTGATTCTGCGTCATCAAACCATTACATGCTGTCCCAGTGGAGCCTGCAAGCTGCCATCCTGACATATTACACAGGCATGGTCCAATTTTGTCAGCATTGGAAACAGTGATGCATTTAACTCTTGTGCTGCCCCAGGCAACACAAAAATTGGCCGTCCACCAGAACCACCTCCCCCCGTGCAGTAAATACGCTGCTGATCGGGAATCCTGCCTAATGCCGGCCATTGACGGTTCGAAAATCGGCCGATTTTTCATCCGAAAGATCAATCGGATGATTTTCGCACTGTTAGTGGGTTAATTCGTCGGCTGTTTTTCACGTTTTTTCCACTTTTGGATTATCGGTCATGTTGGAAAATTTGTGGAAAACGACCGATTTTCGCGTCAATGTTGGTCAAATCGTACGATTGTTTTTACGAAAAAAATATGCGCATGAGCCGTGACCTGGAAGGAAGAGAAGTTTTGCCTGTTATATGGGGTGAACTTTATGACTTGGTTGGCCGATCTTCGTAATATTTGGTGGTTACGTTGGTTTAACGAATGACCGATGTTTCGTTTATCGGGACGAAAAAACGTCCGGTTTCGAGCCGTCTGTGGCCTGTGTAAGAAGTTATGTGGAGCAATTGCTGGGTTGGCCGTAAAGAGGTTGCAGGAGATTAGCAGCATCAATGCAACCAAGGATAAAGGTAAAGTGAAAACAAATATTTTACCTAAAAATCAGGGTAGTAGTTTAGCAATATTAGGGCCTGTGTCAATGAGCTTTGGCCTTGTGTTTGTGACATCAATTTTGACATGCTTCTGAGACCATTAAGAATGCATCGACTGTTGTGTTTTAAAATGCTTCTTTATCCTTGGACATACCTCCTTAGACCCAGTCTATCTAGACAATATGGTCACTTGCTGACTTGGAACCATCCACAGGCAGCTTAACTCTTCAATGAGAAACAGAAGTTGAATGCAGTGCAATTTTACCTCAATTAATTGCAGTACAGAATATGTTTTTTTCAATGTTTTGAGGGAGATTTTCTAAAACTGGTGCAGACAGAATCTGGTGTAGCTGTGCAATAGTATCCAATCAGCTTCTAACTTCAGCTTGCTCAATTAAGCTTTAACAATAAATCCTAGAAGCTGATTGGTTACTATGCCAGCCAGTGCCTTACACTACATATTGACAAAATTGTTTTGGCTAAATGGTTCTTATCACCATAGGCCTCACAAAACCTGATGAGCACTAGAACATTTCTCCCCATTGGGTGATTTAGCCTCACTTCCTACTTTGATGACAACTCTAATAATCTGGATTCCCTCTGCTTTCTGTCTTGGTGACAGTGGTTACCAGTACATATAGAGAGGTAAATTTACTGGAATTGGCTACAAGACCATCAGCAAGAAGCTTGGGGAGAAGGAGACAACTGTTGAAGTGATTAGTCGCAAATAGAAGAAATACAAAATAACCATCAATTTCTCTGTCTGGAGCTTGATGCAAGATTTTGCCTCATGGGGTAAGGAGAAAAGTGAGGAATCGGCTCAGAACTACATGGAAGGAGCTTGTGAATAATCTCAAGGCAGTTGGGACCACTGTCACAAAACAAACCATTGGTAGCACAATACACTGCCCTGGTTTGAAATCCTGCAGCGCTTGCAAGGTCCCCCTCATCAAGAAAACACATGTACAGGCCCAATTGAAGTTTGCCAATGAACATCTAAATGATTCCAAGAAGGATTGGGAGAAAGTGCTGTGGTCAGATGAGACCAAAATTAACGTCTTTGACATAAAATTGACTTTCCATGATTGGAGGAAGAAAAATGCTGACTGACCCTAAGAACACCATCCCTACATTCAAGCACGGAGGTGGAAACATTATCTTTTGGGGCTGATTCTCTGCTAAAGGTACAGACCGCCTTTGCCGCATTGAGGGGCCAATGGATGGGGCCATGTATTATAAAATCTTGGGTGAGAACCTTCTTCCCTCAGCCAGAACACCGAAGAGGGATCATGGATGGGTCTTCCAGCATGACAATGACCCAAAACATACTGTCAATGAGTGGCTCAAGAAGAAGCACATTAAGGTCATGGAGTGGTCTAACCAGTCTTTAGACCTTTATCCTATTAAAAAATGTATGGAGCAAGCTGAAACTTCGAGTTGCCAAGATATCCTTAAGGATTTAGGGCAGGGTTTTCATTCAAAGGGCCAGTTTACTGTACCTCAGACTTTAGGAGGGGCCTGATTGTGGTTAGTAGGGGTAGAAAATGTCCCGGGCCCAGCATCACTGAGAATAAACATGGCCTATGGGTTTATGGTCAGTAAAAAGAAGAGTATTGCCCCATCATTGGTATTAGTGGAAGGAATAGTAACCAATCATTCGTATCAGTGTAAGAAATAGTGCACCATAGTGCATCGTTGGTGTCAGTGGGAGGAATAGTGCCTTGTATCATTCAGAGGAATATTGCCCCAAGGGCCGGTTAAAGGCTGGCAATGGGCTGCATCTGACCCCCCCCCCCTTCCCGGGCCACAGTTTTGGAGACCTCTGATTTAGAGAATATCTGTAAAGAAGAGTGGACCAAAATCCTTCCTGAGGTGTGTGTGCACCTGGTAACCAACTACAAGAAATGTCTTACCTCTGTGCTTGCCAACAAAGCCTTCTCCACCAAGTACTAAGCAGGGGCGGACTGACAACTCATGGGGCCCCCGGGCAATAGGGGATCATGGGGCCCCTGTGTCCAAACTCAAAAAAAACTATGAAAAAGGTACCAGGGGCATCTGATGGGGCCCTCTACTGACCCCGGGCCCTCGAGCAGTGCCCGAGTTTCCAAATGGTCAGTCCGCCCCTGGTACTAAGTCATGTTTTGCTTGGGGATCAAATACTTATTTTACTCACTGACTTGCAGCTCAATTTATAACATTTCTATCATATGTTTTTTCTGGATTTTTGGTTGATATTCTGTCTCTATCATTTAAAATATACCTATGATAAAACTTGTAGATCCTTCATTTCTTTGTAAGTTGACAAACTTACAAAATCTGCAGGGGATCAAATAATTTTTTTCCCTACTGTATATACACGCACATGCAGTAGGTTTGTTTCTTTTGAAAATAATACTTTGCAGTAAGTTTGAAATCTTGTGTCCACTTGGTGAATTTTATCAATGACATTATCAGGGCACTATAACCATTTTTCAGTAGTATAGAATTAATCATGGTTAATTATGGTGTTAATTACTTGTAATTAGCAGTGGTGTATCAGTGAAAGTGAGATGCTAAATACCATAGCCGTGCTTATGTTAATCAAGTGAAAAATGTGCACATTAATATGCAAATTCGTCATCTGCTTCCCTCTGGGAGGAAGGGCTGGTGCAGAGCATGCTGGGATAAATAGGTGGTAATTTTTCAGTACCTCTTCAGCTGTCATTGAAGTAACATAAGAGAGACATTAGGGATGAACTGGTGTTGACATTTGGACATTAAAGGGCACTACGAATACATTTCTCATTGAATGTATAATGAGATTCTTGCTTTACTATGGTTAGGTTTTAATGTCTACTGTGAAGGTAATATGAATCACAGTAGACAGAAAAGAGAAATATTTCCCATCGCTTCCCATGCTCCCTTTCTGCCACCCCTTAGTCGAATGCTGCCAGCTGTTGCCCTCAAGCTTTTTTTTTGTGGAAAATGGCAGCTAACATAGAGCATTAAACGGAACTCTAGGTATTCTGAAAACGTTGCCAGGAGATGAAGGGTTTTTTTTGCATGTCTTTTTGACCAAGTGGCTCAAGAAGTGGCTGACCAACAAGAATCCAGTAGATGGCGGGGGGGACAATGCCAGTGCTAGAGGGCAGAGCGGCAAGGGGCAGCTTTGATCTGTAATTTCTGGTGGAGCAAATGAGCAGATGTGTACAGTTCAACTTGAAACTACAGAGAACAGTTACATATTGGTACAAGATATTTTTGCAACTACCCAATCATGGGTACTTTTCTATATATATAGATATATATATATATAGATATATAGATATATATATATATATATATATATATATTAAATTAGATAGAAGCCCCAAATAGATGACATTTTACTTTGCTAAAGTACAGTGTATCCTAACAATTGCTATTTTTGTTTTCCTAAAAAGATTCTTTTTTTATTACCCTTGGGTGAATCTCAGTACTTCTGATTTCCTGCAGTCTGTTTAAAGCCACCTCCTGTCTACATCCACTCCAGCGATGGCATTTTTCTAGTTGAATTTCCTGATGGGGACAACAATGAACCATGCCTGTGTAATGTGTGCTGGAATGACCGCTTGTGTCTTCATGGGGAGCCCACGTGTCAGGGTGACAATGGAGGTCCACAACTTGAAGACAGGGACAGAGTGTTAGGCAGGCCATACATGAGTCAAAAATCAACCGATTTTCGGACTTAAGAATAATCGGACGATTTTCGCTCTATTAGTAGGTCAATGGCACCGGCCGATTTTCGTGGTTCCTCCCCTTTTCGTTGAGCATGTTGGAAAATTTGTGATTTTCGACTCAATGATGGTCAAATCGTATGATCGTTTTTTCCGTGACCTGGAAGGAACAGTAGTTTTGTATGTTTTATGGAGTGACCTTTATGACTTGGTCAGCTGATTTTCAAAATTAATGATGGCACCACGAACGATGTTTCCGATTTTCAGACGAAAAATCGTTTGGAATTCGAACCATGTATGGCCTGCATTATGCTTGAAAAGGAAGTGCCTGAACATGTTAATGCAGGACCACCAGATATTGTTTTATTGAAAAATATGAAAATTACACTAACATTTTAAAGACTAGATTTTAGGGATTGGGGTTACATATGCTTTAATCCTATGAATGATCTTTCACAGGCTGTATGAACAATATTTTATTTTAGGTTTCATGGTCTTGTATAAGTGTTCTAAAACCAAGCACAACAGAATAAGATTGAAAATTCATCCGCTTAGGCAAGTGTCGCTAATGGAAGATTTCCCCTCTATTCCTGCTCTGGGGGAAAACTCAGATGTGGTTTCCTATCACTTTCTGTTCCAATGACATTGGTCACCAGGACAAATAGATGAATCTTCCTATGTTGACATATTCCACAATAAAAACCTGCCTGAGGATGTAACCCTTCCACGCTCAAAACTTTGAAAAGGTTATAACGTTAAGTGGAACTTAAAGTGGAGATCCACCCAAAAGGGTAAGTTCCACTTGCCTGCCACCCCATAGTAGATGTACTGCTACAGGGAGGCTTCACTGGGCAAAATTACGTAAACATACGTGATTTTGCATTTCTGGGTAGGGGGCATGCGTTTGCCCCACCCTACCTGCACTGCTATTGGCTCCTGAGGATGTCAATCACCGCATCCCAGCCGCCAATTTTAGGCCTGGACACGTGATTGTCGAATAAGCTGAGAGTGGACAGATCTGTGTGTAAATAACACATATTTCTCCTGTCAGCATGGACTTGCTGCTTTCTATATCTCTCCCCCCCCCCCATCCCTGCAAAGAGATAGAAAGCAGCAGGTCTGCTTAGTAAAACATAACACAGTACACAATAAAAACACTCCCTAACACACAGTTAACCCTTTGATCGCCCCAGATGTTAACTCCTTCCAGCCCAGTGTCATTTAGTACAGTATCAGTGCTTTTTATTAGCGCTGTGTCAGAATGCTCGCTGCAGTCCCTCTATAAGTCGCTGATCGCCACCATTACTAGTATAAAAAAATAAAAATTCCAGTATGTATACCGCCATTTGCAGACGCTATAACTTTCACGTAAATCAATTAATATACACTTATTGGGATTTTTTGTTTAGCAAAGACATGTAGCAGAATACATTTTGGCCTAAATTCATGATGACATTTTGTTTTTTTTTTTATTTTTTTATTGGATATGTTTTATAGCAAAAAGTAAAAAATATTATTTTTCAAAATTGTCAGTCTTTTTGTTATAGCACAAAAAATAAAAACTGCAGAGGTGATCGAATACCCCTGAAAAAAAGCTGTATTTGTGGGGAAAAAAGTGACATAAATTTAATTTATGTACAGCGTTGCATGACCGCGCAATTGCCAGTTAAAGTAATGTGATGGCGTATCACAAAAAATTGCCTGGTCAGAAAGGGGGGTAAATGTGGAGGGAAAGTGGTTCAGTGCTGGTCCCCCGTTCCCCTGAGGAAATAGCACCTTCCCATGAAGACTGCTGGGATGTATGACATCATTTTGGCATAGGCCAGAAACCAGGAAGTAACTGAAAAAAAAGTTTAAAACAAGAAAATATAATATACCTTTCTATCTATATACTAATGCCAGCAGCATAGAGATTACAATTATTAATGGTAAATAAGTCGATTTAGTTCCACTTTAAGTTCCTTCAAATGAGCTCATGTAACAATTTCTCTTTTTCTAGGCTCAGAAAAGTTTGGCAGAAGAGGAAGTGCTCAGTGAAGAACTGTTACCTGACCATTGCTCATGGCGCGGTATTAAAAATCTCCTTAAATAAATTGTTTTGCATACATATATATATACTTGCAATAAATTCAAGCTGTTGTTAAATTTGCCCCATGCAGTGGGTTTAATGCATTCGCCCCACCACCCAATGCATGGGTTAAATGTTCACTTGGCGGGAGGGATGAATAAGTAGAAATACCTTATTCCCAATTCCATCAGCAGCTAGCGCTCTCCTCTGCTGTCCAACACTCTGAAATGTGGGGAGGGCCCTCAACATCCTCCCATACAATGCAGGACTACTGGTTTTGTATGGTATGTGATGGCATCTGAAAGCTACAAGCCGCTGGCTGGTGAAGTGAAGCTGCTAGGAGGCATTGGGCAAGAAGTAGCCTGTGGGAGGCAAGTATTTGTTCTTATTGCTTTTCCCCCTTAACCAAAGAAACATTTAAACAATGCAGTGCAGGGGTGGACTCAGGGGCGGACTGACCATTTGGAAACTGGGGCACTGCCCCAGGGGCGGGGTCAGTAGGGGGCCCCATGAGATGCCCCTGGTACCTTTTTCATAGGCTTTTTTGAGTTTGGGCAAGGACACAGGGGGCCATGGTCTTCTATTGCCCGGGGGCCCCATGCGTTGTCAGTCCGCCCCTGGGTGGACCCCACTGCATGGGTAGGTTGAACAGCAGCCGATCATTGGACTTTAAAAGAAGCAATATAATGGTCCATTTACAAAAAGACTGTTCATTTTCCAAGGGAACTTTCTCCAGAGCTCAATGAAAGAGGTAAAGCTCTGCTGGCTTCTAGCATCCAATCATGCAAGCAAAAATGCGTTGTTTTTTTTTTTCCTCTCTTACACTTGAGTGTTCTTTGAAAGGTGAATTTTCACCACGTTCACTAAAGTAAGGAAAATTAATTTGCAAAGTGTAACTTCCCTTGTAAATTGAACAGCTTATTGCCTTTAGTATACCAACCCATGTGTGTTTTCAGTGAGCTCATATTCCAGATTTTTGACATTGTATTAAGTATAAAGAGTTGTAGATTAACAACTAGAGGGAAATTTCATTTGAAATAACTTCTAGTGATGCCTCTCCTAGGTTGGACTTTTCAGCAACTCTGTATGAATAGATCCCTGAGGCCCCTTGCACACAGGGCAGACTCCATTTGGATCAGCAGGGGATTTGCTCATTTTCTGCAGTGGACAGAGCCCAATTTTTTCTATAGACCAGTGGGTGTAAATGGACACCAGTTTCCTTTGCGCCCGACTGCCCTTCAGTCCGATCCAGCACAACAATAGGTGTTCAATGTTTTACATTGTTTGTTTTTGAGTCCTGTTTCACATGGGCTTCAGCTTGTAAAAGAGCAGTGTGAACAGTGAGCTTTGATGAAGCTTTTAAACTACCATTCAGCTCCAGTTTGTACATGTTGAACACAGATCCTAATGGGAGTGTTGCTTGCCACTTTAAACAAGCTGCTGGCAGGCTTCAGCAGCTTTCAGCAAGCTTCAAGAAGTGCTGAAGCATACTAGCAGCTTGTTTAATGTGGCAATCAGCACTCCCATTAGGATCTGTGTTCAGCATTTACAAACTGGATCTGCATGGAACTTTAAAAGCTTCAGCTTGCTGAAAGCTTTGAAAATGCTTTCTCGAAGTTTGCTGTTCGCACTGCTCTTATACAATTTGAAGCCCATGTACAACAGGCCCTAAAGCAGCCACAGTAGGGTAGAAAGGCCTGTTCCCTGTCAGCATGCTGTAGATTAGGACCCTTGCTGTCTGTGAGGAAGCAGTGGTCTCATTGCAGAGGTCTGACACGCCTCCTGATAAGTCAGAGCCAGTGCTCTCCAGTCAGCAGGGACCATGAGCTTTGCTGATTCCAGAGTTAAAGGTGTGACCTTGTAGGGTGCTTGTCAGACATATTCACTGATTCCCCACAGAGAGAAAGGGTCCCACTTTGCATCGGCTGGCAGGGGACAGGCATTTCTACTCTACTGTGGCTGCTTTAGGGCCTGTTTTACATGGGCTTCAAATTGTATAAGAGCAGTGTGAACAGCAAACATCAACAAAGCGTTTGCAGAGCTTTCAGCAAGCAAGTAGGCTGTGGCTACTTTAGAAAGAAAATGAACTGTGTGACTGAGTACCTTTTGTATTGATGCCCTTGGAACGTTCTTAAAAAAGCTTGGACTTTAGAGCCAATTCACACATGTGCGGTGCGGATTGAAGCTCAGTTTCCCCAGTAATTGACACAGTAGTTGTTCAGCGGTTCATTTCACGTTTACATCAGGTTCAGGACAGGATTCACTCAGGATTTTATCCTGTTCCCACATATGCAGTTTAGAAATGGTTCCCATAGAAGTCAATAGTTTGTAATCCGCACGTGAAACTGAAGGCGCTGCTCAAAAATTGTACATGACTCTTTCAAACCAAACTGAATCCGCACCTCCAGTACACTGAACATATGTGAACAAGCACCATAGAAAGCAATGTTATTTCACGTCATGCGGATTGAATGCGGTTCAAACCTCATCCAATGGTCAAACATGTGAACCGGCGCTTAATGAATCGTATGGCAACAAGAGACTATACTTAAGCATCGTGCAGCACAAATACAATTCCCTAGGTGTAGGCTGTGATTGGACCTAGATAACCTGTAAAAAGAGTGAATTTGTAACTAGTAACTTTAGACCAGTGGTGTTCAGTTGACTGCCTAGGAGATGCAGGCAGCCCTTCAGCACCACCTTTGCAGCCTTTTTCATCCAAGATAAAAAAATATCTTCTTTGGCAAAGTTACTATTTTCAGTCCCTACATGCGCAGGTTTCTGTAAGCGTGGAGCAGATACCTCTAATGAGCTATTCGTTGTACATTACTGGCTAATGTACAGGACCGAGTGCATTAGCTGGCTAATACCAGTATAGCAGATGTTGCTGATTATTTGTATGCCTCTGGCATTAGCGAAGGTCCCCAGTGCTGGTAATTGTATTCATTTGTTGAAGCCTCAAGGCTATGCCCAAACTAACTGCACATTTATTTTACATTTCTGCTCAAACAATATACTTACATTTTACAAGTTTGCGGAAAAGCAAAATTAGGAATAAAATTTAGTATTGCCTATGGTGAGCAGCTAAAAAGATTATGGGGGCTTCAAATGCCCTCCTGCAACGTAGGCAGGGTTCTGTTACATAATGCTACTCTAAAGAGCATCAGCATATTCAAAACCTTTAAAGGGTAAGTCCAGCCAGTGGTGGTGTTGTAGTTTTTGGTAGATTATGAAGGATTAAACAAAATTGAAATGTTTTAAAGTCTCTTGAGAATTCTGTTAGCGAGATCTCTGTGCTGAATTCTCAGGTCTGCACATCTGCTGTTGCCATTATGGATTCTCACACTCCTCCTGTTACATTCTCTATAAAACAAAATAAAAGCATAACCAACAAGGAGTTGGAACATGAAAAAGTGGGCAGGGGTTCCAAAAACTTCCAGGTGAACAGGAACAGAGCCAATCCATGTTTGGCCAGCTTTCAGTCTAGGTTCACACTGCTGTGGTGCGATTTTGATCCAGTTTCTAGTGCGACTTCAAGGGGCAGTTGTACTGTGAGTTGATGTGGTTGAGATGTGACTCTGATGCGATTTGGATGCATTCTGGACACAATTTAGATTCAAGTTTTTAGTACTGACTCATCCCTGCTGTGAGCAGCAGGGATGATTCATCAATTGTTAGGGACCTGGCACCCTCCAGCTTCCTAAAAACGATGAGCCATCCCTGCTGTCAGCAGAATGTAAACAAATATTTTTGGTGAATGAGTAGGGGTACCATGTACCCCATACTCATTCACATAGGGCAGGGGTAGGCAACCTGCGGCTCTCTAGCTGTTGTAGAACTACATTTCCCATGAGGCATTGCAACATTACAAAACTGACAGTTACAGCTATGACTTGCAGAGGCATGATGGAACTTGTAGTCCTGCAACAGCTAGAGAGCCGCAGGTTGCCTACCCCTGACATAGGGGAAGCTGGGATATGGGTGCCCCCCACACCCCCACAATCACCGGGCCAGGGTTGTGGAGAAGAGGCCTTTGTGCTTATCAACATGGGAACAAGGTGGTTTGCTATGGGGGGGCCCACCATGTTGGGGGCATGTGGCCTGGTATGGTTCTGGGGGGGGGAGGGGGTAAACACTCCCTCGTCCCCTCCCTTTTTCTGGCCTGCATGCTTGGATTAGGGTCTGGTATAGATTTTGGGGGGGTGCCATTTTTTGGGGGCATGGAGTTCCCCTTAAAATCAATACTACACCTAAGGGCCTGGTATGGATTTTGGGGGGACCCACACATTTTTTTTTTTTCAATGCTGTCTCTTTTGTTTACATTCCCCTTTGCATGGATGACTGATTATTGTTAGGAAGCCAGCAGGTGCTGGCTCCTTAACAACCAATGAGTGATCTGTGCTGTTGACAGCAGGGATGAGTCACTGGTTGTTAGGATGCAGGCAGGTGCTGGCTCCTTAACAACCAATGAGTGATCTGTGCTGCTGACAGCAGGGATGAGTCACTGGTTGTTAGGATGCAGGCAGGTGCTGGCCCCTTAACAACCAATGAGTGATCTGTGCTGCTGACAGCAGGGATGAGTCACTGGTTGTTAGGAAGCAGGCAGGTGCTGGCTCCTAACAACCTGTGCAAATCTTATTGTAAAAAGGAATCCAAAAATAACATTGATGTGATTTTGAAGCGTGTCTATTAACAAATAGAAAGTGTTGGGCTACCCTCATATAAACTAAAGCAAAAAGACACTCCAAAAACAAATATTAAGTAGTCACAAATAACAATAATAACCATACAGTGACAACATAAAAGAATTAATGACAGTGAATCCATCAATAAAGTGCCAGACTGCAAACTGTCATTATATATATTTGATGTTGTCACTGGTTAAATGGTTAATATTGTTATTTGTGACTACTTAATTATTGTTTTTGGAGTGGCTTTTTGTGAGTAGTTTGTGATTTGTGATCAATTATTTTGTGGGTGGGAGCAGCTGCAGCCACTGTTATAGGTATTTTTAGCTGGCAGCGCACTTTGGCTTTAGATGTATGTCCATTGAAGTCTATGGGCCACATAATCGCACTGCATTGCACCAAAATCGCACAGGACCCTTTTAAAAAACGCATCACAGATGCACTGAACGGGCTGCTCAGAAACTCATGGTATTTCACTTGTCATGTGATTCTATGCATTTTGGAATGCATCAGAAATCACACGTCAGTGTGGATCAGGGCATAGGCACTTGAGGGAAGTTGCTGAGAACTTGTTGAATGCATCGCAAATGTTCACTGAAGCTAATGCCCTTTAGACTAGTGTTTTCTATCTAGGTTTAAACAATACCCCTTTGTTTATGGCTTAATGATTCAGACATTCATGATCTTAAAGCGGAGCTCCACCCAAAAGGGGAAGTTCCGCTTTAATGCCTTGTCCCCCCACTCCCCATTAAGGATTGGCACCTTTGGGGAGCGGGTACCCAAATTTGACAGGTACTTGCTATCACTTCGGCTGCCGATCGCTAGGCGATCAGAAGCAGAAGTTGTCCTCCCTCCCCCCTTCCTGGTAGTCTTGTGGAACACATGACAGGTCCCAGAAGACTACGGGATCATTCACAAAGCGGAGCGCTTCTCGTACATGCGCAGTGGGCACCCGGTTGTGAAGCCGCAAATTGTCACAGCCGGGTGCCTACACTGAAGATGCCGGCACCAGGGAGAGAAGACGGACGGTGAAAACCGAGGGACAGGTAAGTGGCTGTATTGTAAAATTCAGTTTTTGTAGCTGCTGGCCCTTTTTTTTTTAGGTGGAACTCCTCTTTAAGTAAAACAAAGAATCATGTGCTAACTACTGTAAGCAATCAGTAAGAACTGATCTTTCTGATCTTTCATTGATCCATCCACAGCAAAGTCATATAAAAGGTTGCTGTGGGTTACTTTGCTTTTCACATCATGTTGGACAATTTATTTGCCTTACTGAATCATATGTTTTTGTAAATGGTTATCTTTAGGTGAACATATGGCAACTTTGTAATTCTCTATTGCTTGCAGCCAAACCGCCAGCCGGCCAAATTGAATCTGTTGACGTGCCAGGTGAAGCCTAACATGGAAGATAAGAAATGCTTCGACCTCATATCACGTATGTTCTCCTGGCTTTCATCCACTTCTGATTAAAGATCAACAAAATGTATTAAAAGCCACTCAACGGATGATTCATCCAGACTGCAGCATGAAGATCCGCAGCTATTCACATATTTTGCCGCTATGGCAATTTTTTTCTCCTAGTAGAAAAGCAGAGAAAACCTATTTTGTGCTGAGTGCCCATACGCTTTCCCTGTGTTCTGACCTGAAAATCTAGAACGATGATAAAATTGCTACATTTATTTTTTTTAATTTCAATTTTAAATTCAATCAGCCACACCTTTCCTTTACTGCATCTTTACTTTAAGCCCTTGCAGGTTCACAATAGGGAGGGGTTCATGCGTGAGCGATCCCACTGGGAAGCTGTCACCTGTATTGGGCCAATCACAAGCAGCTGAAGCATTCCCACCCCACATCCTTATATATACAAGTATTTTATTTATTTACTTATTACAGGTACTTAGCGCCGTCAATTTACGCAGCGCTTTACATATATATTATACATTCACATCAGTCCCTAACCCTCAAGGGGGTGTACAATCTAAGGTCCCTAACTCACATTCATACATATACATACTAGGACCAAGTTAGACAGGATCCAATTCACCTACCAGCATGTCTTTGGAGTGTGGGAGGAAACCGGAGTACTCATGCAGGCACAGGGAGAACAGGCAAACTCCAGGCAGGTGGTGCCGTGGTTGGGATTCGAACCAACGACCACAGTACTGCCAGGCAGAAGTGCTAACCATTTAGCCACTGTGCTGACCAAGTACAAGTACAGTGACAGCTTCCTGGTAGGATTGCTCAGGTGGGTTTGGGCCAGGATTACTGGAGTAGCGATGTCTACTTGACACAGTGATTTCCAGTTTCCAGGGACATCGACCAGGTATGGTATATACATAGTTAGATTGGTCCAAGCTGGATCCTAGTAACTATGTATAAAATATCTATACCTGGAATTTTACTTTAAATGACTGTGTTCTGACCCAATTTGGTCAATTTGTATGTTGAGTTTAGGCAAAATTAGCATAGTATTTCATGTATTGTTCTTTTCATTGGCTGGTATGTTTTAAAGGTGATTTTCTCCTCTAGCAGTGAACCATTTGTATATATAAAGTCCAATGGCTTAAAAAAAACCTTGTGCATCATTTTTTACCATTTGTGTTCAGCTGGGGAGATTTAAATTCACTTCCAGTCCAAAGAATTAACAGAAAAGGAGGAAATCTCTCCAAAGTGGTGGAAATCTCTTATCAGTTGTCACCACAGCCATTGTCCCCAATGGAAGATTGCTCCTCATTTCCTGTTCTGGTGACAACTCTGGATTTTTGGATTTCCCTCACTTTCAGTGAAAAAGGTTGAATCTCCCTAGTTCAGACGCAGACAGAAAAACAGATCTGACATGGGTGCTAACCCTACCCTACTTTTCCATACACTAGGAAAGAAAGTTTTGGTAAAGTTTATTAAACAATATTATTTTGTTGTCAAGATGTATATGTTGGGAATTAACTCTGTTTTATTCTTGTCTGCAGATAATCGAACATACCATTTCTTATTAGAGGATGAACAGGACTGTGTTGCGTAAGTAAGAGCTGCATTGTTGCCCACAGCACTCCCAAGTTCCCTGTGCTTTTTACTACACAGTAGAAGCACTTCGCTGCTCATGTTATCTCTCACACACCAACACTAATTCAGCATCCTCCGTTAATGAGTGACTCTTTGGGGTGGATTCACTAAAACTGGTGCACTCAGAATCTGGTGCAGATGGGTAATGAATGCTATGGGGTTGATTTATTAAAAGTAGACAGTGTAAAATCTGGTGCAGCTGTGCATTGTAGCCAATCAGCTTCTAACTTCAGCTTATTCAATTAAGCTTTGACAATAAAACCTGGAAGCTGATTGGTTTCTATGCAGAGCTGCAGCAGATATTGCACACTTCAGTTTTAGTAAATAAACCCCCTTTTATCTCATTATAAATATAGACTTGGATAAAAAAATTGCATCCAATCCCAGTGTAGCTAAGGAACAGTGTTTGACTGCATTTTATCTCATTAACCATTTCAAGTCCGGACACTTTTACCCCCTTCCTGTCCAGGCCAATTTTCAGCTTTCAGCGCTATCACATTTTGAATGACAATTGTGCGGTCATGCAACACTGTACCATATGAGTTTTTTAGCATTTTTTGAGACAGATAACACTTTATTTTGGTGGTATTTATTCACCAGTGGGATTTTTTTTTTTTTTTGCTATGTAAATGAAAAAGTCCAAAAAGTTTGAAAAAAAAAGTTTTTTTTCTTAAAAATTTTGCAAATAGTATTTCATCATAAATCTTGGCCAAAATTTATTCCGTTATCTTTTTAGTAAAAAAAAAAAATAACCCAAATTAGTTTAAACCAAAAATTATAATTTTTAAACACTTTTTTTTTTTTTTACATTTTTTATATTATTATTTGTTTTTTTTTTACATACTGTCACCCTAGCAGTACAGTGTCACCATGATGACACTGTACTACTTGTGGGGGGTGATGAAGATTTTTTTTTTTTTACACTGATTGCTTTTACAGCTTTTATGGGTGTAAAAGCAATCATTTCTCCTTCTCTCTCTAGCTGCATTCTTGCAGCCATTGAGAACTACTGTGTGAGCTGTGATTGGTCACAGCTTGTCACATGGTACAAGGCTGTTGTGAATAGCCTTATATCATGTGACCTCTGTGATCATTCACAGATTTCACACGTAGTAAGCAATGATGTCACAAGTGACATCTTGCTTACTACTCTGCATGTGATCACTGATTGGCCAACGAGTGATCACATGATTAGGACCTCTCGTACACAGGTCCCGCCCGACGATCGGTGTTCCACTGTGTCCGGAGTACACAGCGGGCACCGGATTGCGGTGCTGCTCGCTCCCAGGGAGCACGCACAGCTTGAAAATGCGGGTGCCGTTTATGAACGGCAACCCACCCCTGGAGTGCCACTGTCCTGCCGTTAATAAATAGCAGGCAGACGGCAAGTGGTTAACTGTGTCTTACCAGAATAATCTAACTATGTATTTTTTAGATCATCAGTAAGTGTGTTTTACAATAAACTAGCACAAAGATCTAATCCTTTCACAGCAGGGCCCATCCTGGGAGAATGAAGGGCAGCATTCTGGGCCAATCAATCTGTGCAGCACAGTGCTGGCTGCAAACCAGTTTACAGGAGGACTGAGCAAAGGGATGACCCCCATCACTGTGCTGCTGCTCCCTCATTGTCCGGTCAAAGGTTGGGTTGGGTCCAAGATGTACAACTTAATTAGGTGCAGGACCTGGCTGCACTATTAGCATCTGTATGTATTTAAATAGTGTATTTAACAGTTCATATTCACCAGCATAAAAAACATACACAATATAAGGTGATACATTTGGCACATTTTGTATTTTGAAAATAACTTGGCTTAAATTTGAACTCTCCTTTAATAGATGATGTTGTTTTAGGTGGATCTCAGTACTTACTAACAGTAAGCAGGAAGCTTTGAACATGGCATTCCACGAAGCGCGTCCCAGCGAGGAGAACAGCATTGAGGATCTCACTAAAGCCATTATAGAGGACATCCGGCGGATGCCGGGGAATAGTGTGTGCTGTGACTGCGGAGCACCAGGTGAGCAGGAAATTTGCACCGTTATTATTTAGGCTGTCTGTATTTTGCCGATATGGCAATGACACTTCTCTCACTATACATTCTGCTTTGTGTATGCAACAATAAATATACATAAGATCCAAAAATTGTTACTGGTGTATGTACGAATTTGTGAATCAAATTAAAAAGCCATGAAACATAGGATACCAGATGCGGTATGTGAAAGAGGTAAATAATATCCATGGAGTCGTATGACAATTTCGGGGATCATCAGAACAGAAGATATTTATGCTCTTGTGTCATCCAACCCACTTCTGTGACCTTCTTCGATATACCCCCGGGGGGGAACAGTCATGTCATCCCACCTGTCTTGGTTTACAGTACTCCTGGACAGGCCCAAGCCACACTACCTGCGTGGTGGGAGGAAGGACCAGTGGTGTCGCTGGACCATCCTGAAGACTACAGATAAAAAAAGTACCCGTATTTGCCGGCGTATAAGACGACTTTTTGACCCTTGAAAATCTTCTCAAAAGTCGGGGGTCGTCTTATACGCCGGTACACATGTTTAGGGGGGCTGCGGCATTAAGTACAGGGGTTTGCAGGGGCTGATGTCTCTTACCTGGATCCAGTCCCACGACGATCCGGTCCAGGAAGCGCGGCGTCTCCTTCAGTTCGGCCACTGGATGTTCGTGCGGCTGCTCGGCTCCGCCTCCTCACCGGTGATTGGCCGCCAGAACTGTAGCTCAGGAAAGGCACACAGGCGGCCAATCACCGGCGAGGGGGCGGAGCCGAGCGGCCCCGCGAAAATTGAGTGCCGGAGCAGCAGGTAAGTGTTCTGTGTAGAGGTGCTGCTGCAACCACATATGCTGGCTGCAGCAGCACCATACGAGAACAGGGTCAGCAAGTCTCAGTGGGAGGAATAGTGCCCCATCATTGGTGTCACTGATACCAATGATGGGGCACTATTCCTCCCACTGACACCAATGATGGGGCACTATTCCCCCCCCCCACTGACACCAACGATGGGGCACTAGTCCACCCCCCACTGACACCAATGATGGGCACTATTCCCTCCCACTGACATCAATAATGGGGCACTATTCCTCCCACTGATACCAATGATGGGGCACTATTCCTCCCACTGATACCAATGATGGGGCACTATTCCTCCCACTGACACCAATGATGGGGCACTATTCCTGCCACTGATACCAATGATGGGGCACCATTCCTGCCACTGATACCAATGATGGGGCACTATTCCTGCCACTGACACCAATGATGGGGCACTGTTCCTCCCACTGACACCAATGATGGAGCACTATTCCTCCACTGATACTAACTGATGATAGGGCACTATTCCTGCCACTAATACCAATGATGGGGCACTATTTCCTGCCACTAATGCCAATGATGGGGCGCTATTCCTGCCACTAATACCAATGATGGGGCACTATTCCTCCCACTGACATCAATGATGGGGCACTATTCCCCCACTGGTGTGCATTGGAAGAGGGGTAGTCTTATACGGCGAGTATAGCCTAAACACTACATTTTAGCAGGAAAAGTAGGGGGGTCGTCTTATACGCCCAGTCGTCTTATACGCCGGCAAATACGGTAGGTATAATTGGGTTTAAAAAAATGGTGGTAGGGGGTGGGGCACAAAAATGCTTGAGATGGGCTTTACAAAAATTAGTGTAGCACAGCACCCCTATCCCGCCCGCTTCTCCTGTCACCTCAAAGCACCTCCTTTTATCCACCTCCCACCCATTTCACAATGCTTCCCCCACCAACCTTTTTTTGTTGATTATAGCGTCTCCCTTCCACCAACCTCACAGCCCTTACCTTGCACCTGTCTTGCCCACCACCTATAATGCCCCCCTCCCTCGTATCTTATCCCCCTATTCATAGCACCTTCCTCCCACCTACCTTGCCTTCCACTCACAGTGCCTTTTTCCTACATATTTTACTTTCTGGTCACAGTATCTTCAACCTACCCAATTCATCCTCCCCGACTCCACTGTGATAACTTGCTCCCCTCCAAACCTGGCCATTCTGGAGCTGGCACATTTTTGCTAATCTATTATGACTTTGTATGTATGGATGCCACACAATGGAACATCTATTATGTGTGCTGTGTGTGATTCTCGGGATCTGTTATTATGTCTGAATGGACATCTGGAACTGATTTTTGCCATCTGTTGAAATGCACAACTTGTAATATCTGCTGAACACCTCCTTTTGTACCCCCTTTTTAAGGCATGCCCCTAAAACTATTTAACCGTTGCTTGTGCCGTTCATTAAACTGCATTTCTGTGACCACATATTTAACACTACTTTTTAAGTATTTTAAAACATATTTAAAACAGAACTCCATCCTTTCCTGCACAGTCCCTTTAACAAGCAGGTGTACTCTTTTCAGAGATGTCCAAGATGAAGCTGTTCTTCCTTTTTCTTTATTGCCTTTATTTCTTTTCTCACTATAGATTGATGCTATTTCTACCTTTGCAGCAAGTATTTGTTCTCTGAAAGCTGCCGTGCTTCTTATACCATTGGGAGCATTATCTTATTTATTTGGGTAATTTATGCGTTGTAAAAGGTCTTTTCCGTCACATTCTACATCAGGCATGCACGTGTGACAGTTAAATTGCAGTGATAACGCGTATTTACAAATTGAACCTGAGGATTTCACTGGCAGCGGTTTGTTCCATGAGACCTAGATATACTCTGCTGCTGTAGGAAATAAATGATCAACAAACCTGTTATCTTAAAGAATTATCCCAGGCATGGCTATATTTTACATATTGGACCAGTGTAACTATATATATATATACCATATCTGGCCGATGGCCCTGACAACTGGAACTCACTATAGTAGACAGTGCTATTTCAATGATCTGCACTTGCTTCGGGGTCCTATGCTGAGGCACTCCTGCTTACTGAACACAGGAGGTCAGCCACTGAGCTCAGGGGCCATTCAGAGAATGCTTTGCACTTTCTGAATGAATGCAAAGCGTTCTCTATGATTGGAAGAGGCTCAGTGGTAACGTCACACCATATCAATCAAATGCTATTACTCATGAGCTAATATGGTTAATTTCTATAAATAGGTGAAATACAAAAAAGTATATATAAATAAAAAAAAAATAAAATTAATAAATGTGTCTTGAATCAAAAATAATAACAATTAAATCACATTATACATGCACAAATAGGTTCACGAACACATCACACCAACTCATAAATAGTGTCAGAATCTATATAAAAACAAACAACTGTGCTGCGCTCCTATATTGATGTAAATAAACTATAAAAACAGTGTAAGTCCTTACAATATATTATCCAAACAGTACACACAATTACTTGAATGATCCCTTTAGGATATAGAGAAATATTAGTGTAATAACATTATTATGTGTCCAATATCAATAATAAAGTGAAATCCTCCTTTTCTGAGAGATGGGTACAAATAGGTGAATTCACTCCAACATATAGATGATTGCGGTATATATGAAGCTAAGCTCAGTTATGCGCTCACCTCCATTTTCAGCCCAAAAATACAGGCTAAACAAGCTGTTTATCCTAAAAGGATAAAATGTGCACTGATGTTCACCACCTTCTTTGAACGTGTTCACAGCGTGATTTCCTGATTATCCACCTGGTGTCTCTCCTCTCATTACTATCCTATGCAGATCTGTGGATGGATGGATGGATGGATATTTCCTCCTCACCTCCAAGGGGAATAATCCTCCTAGATCCACTTCAGAAGTCTCCAAGGGGAATAATCCTCCTAGATCCACTCCAGAAGTCTCCAAGGGGAATATTCCTCCTAGATCCACTCCAGAAGTCCCCAGGGGAATATTCCTCCTAGATCCACTCCAGAAGTCTCCAAGGGGAATATTCCTCCTAGATCCACTCCAGAAGTCTCCCAGGGGAATATTCCTCCTAGATCCACTCCAGAAGTCTCCAAGGGGAATAATCCTCCTAGATCCACTCCAGAAGTCTCCAAGGGGAATATTCCTCCTAGATCCACTCCAGAAGTCTCCAAGGGGAATATTCCTCCTAGATCCACTCCAGAAGTCTCCAAGGGGAATAATCCTCCTAGATCCACTCCAGAAGTCTCCAAGGGGAATATTCCTCCTAGATCCACTCCAGAAGTCTCCAAGGGGAATAATCCTCCTAGATCCACTTCAGAAGTCTCCAAGGGAATAATCCTCCTAGATCCACTCCAGAAGTCTCCAAGGGGAATAATCCTCCTAGATCCACTCCAGAAGTCTCCACACATATAATGCCAAAAAAAGAACAAAAGATAGTGCTTTACCCTTATAAAACACTTCATTGCATAGCCATTGTATTGCACTCACATTTTAATAATTAAAACAAGCCTTAATGCATATCTCCTTGTGGTGCACCGCACACTAGCTGTACTCGCCGTATAGAATCCGACTGGGTGTGGTGACGTCAGAGCCCCTCCCCATGCACACCATGCATCTTGTCCAATCAGAGAACGCTTTCCATTCATTCAGGAAATGGAAAGAATTCTCTGAATGGCACCCATGCAGATCAGCCAGCTTCCTGTGCTGAGAGTGCAGCTGGATGGCTGCTCAGCACAGGACCTGGAAGCAAGTGGAAATCACTGGAGTAACGGTCAGGCCAGGCATGGTTTATCCACTTCTGGACCGCCACCTATAGCTTTACTGCTATAGTACATATATGTACGTGGTCCAGCATTTCCAGCATTTCCGTGATCTTGCACGTCTGCCACCCCCGTGCTGTTATTTCCAGGACCCGCTGATCAGCTGAGCGAATGACCGAAGAGAGCCTTGTGTTGGTAAACAGCACAGGACTCTCTGTAGACAGCAGTGATGTGGCTGTTTTTTTCTATCTCTGCAAAGCAGGGAGTAAAAACAGTCACATCAGTTTAATAAAAGCAGCACATACTACACACTGTACACTTGTTAGGCATACAGTTAACCTTTTCATTGCCCCAGATGTTAACCCCTTCCCAGCCATCAGCATAGGGACAGTCTTAACACTGAACACTGTATTCGTGATACTGGTGATGTCAGTGTCTGTTCCTTCCACAAAGTGTCAGCTGCCCGCCGCACTTTCACAGTCCCACTATATGTCACTGATCACTGTTATTACTATAATAAAAAACAAATTCCAGTATATATACCATAATTTGTAAACTTTCACACAAACTAATTAATATACTTTTATTGGGATTTATTTTTTACCAAAAACATGAAGCGGAATATATTTTTGCCTAAATTTATGAATTTTTTTTATTGGATACGTTTTATAGAAGAAAGTAAAAAAAAATTGTTTTTTTTTTGTTTATATAATAAAAAATAACTAAAAACCTAGTGGTGGTCAAATACCACCAAAAGAAAATACTATTTGTGTGAAAAAAATGGCATAAATTGTATTTGGGTACAGTATTGCATGACTGCGCAGCTACCAGTTAAAGTAGCACAGTGTTAAATAGCAAAAAATGGCCTGGTGATGGCGGAGGAGAAATCTTCTGGAGCTTTAGTGGTTAAACATAGTTACATTGGTCCAAGCTTGAAAAAAGTAACTATAATATAGCCGTACCCAGAGCATTCACAGACCCTGGGTTATAGGCTGGTACTTTCAGGTGACTGAATGCTGGCAAAGATTTTGAGGACACATCCCCTGAGTGTCCCCCCTATAACCGTACCCTACTATGTGAGTTCTCAGTTTCCGCTAGTGTCCTCTTTTCCTTTTATGGACAAATCATTCTTTGCTCGTCCAGTTTATTATTTTATAATTGGATTCTTCAATGAACTCTTTAGTCAGCTTTCCATTGTCTACTAGCACAACATTAAAAGCAGTGTATCCAGTTTGGTAAAACCTTGTGTTGTACCTGGATCCTATGCCATGGGAAGGGCCTGTATTGTTGCTCCAGGCACTGGATCTTGCACATCAGTATATAATAAGTAGTGAAAAGAAAAGTGCGTTGCCCCATTCAGATCATTTCTTTCAATTTCCAAGTGATTAACACTGTTTGTCTGTTTTATGTATTGGCTCATTCAGGGGCGGACTGACCATTTGGAAACTCGGGCACTGCCCGAGGGCCCAGGGTCAGTAGGGGGCCCCATGAGATGCCCCTGGTACCTTTTTCATAGGCATTTTTGAGTTTGGGCAAGGACACAGGGGCCCCATGATCCCCTATTGCCCGGGGACCCCATGAGTTGTCAGTCCGCCCCTGGGCTCATTTTTCCTCTAAAATGCATCAGTATTTTTGGGGGGAAATAAAAGAAAGGAGAAGCTGAGCATTTAACTTGTTTTCTCAAATATAAAATGTATTCCTTTGTTTTACTAGATCCAATGTGGTTGTCCATCAATCTTGGTATATTGACGTGTATTGAATGCTCCGGTGTCCATCGAGAGCTTGGTGTCCATCACTCCCGAATCCAGTCACTGTCATTGGACAAACTTGGGACCTCAGAGCTTTTGGTAAGTAGTAAATAGAGCTGTTGTTCCTACATTATTGGTATGTGAATGGCATGTGCACACTTTCCTTTGTCACAACTTTTATAATTACAGCAGAATTGAAGCACACTGTATTTTTGTATTTAGATTATTTGTCACTATCTGCCAAAAAAAAAGTAAGCAATGTGATAGGTTGAAATGCACATCACACTGCTCCCTACCACAGCTAACACTGACACTAGCCTGCATTGTAAAACTCTGTGTGAACCTAGACTAAGAGTTGATTATGTACGTATGAATGGTACATGTTACAAGCATTTGGAAATCCAACTGTATGAGAAGCTAAAATCTTGCTTTATCATATATGCTTTGTCTTTTCAGCTCGCCAAAAATGTTGGTAACTCTGGATTTAATGACATTGTAGAGGCCGGTCTCCCTTCTCCGACAATCAAACCTACAACAGACAGTGCAATGTAAGTACATTACACTCTAGTTCACTATATTGTGTATCATTCTGATGCTACTTTATTGTTTAATACAGGATAATGTGTACTTGGTGGACTCCAGTGGCTAAATCACTTAGTAGTTTAAAATAATTCTTGGGAACTCCTTAACCTCCCTGGAGGTATTCCTGAGTGTAGCTCGGAGTAAAGTTTCAGCACCACAAGCGGTAACCCCGAGCTACACTCGGGAATACCCTGCAGCGCTGCTCCGGGATCTCTTCTTCTCTTACCTTGTCCTGCACTCCCGCGATGTCCCTCCTGCAGTGTCCCCGGCAATGTCCTCCGGCGGATGCCAGCATCTGTCTTCTGGGTTCCATTCCCTGTGACGTCAGGACGCACGGGGGACGGAACGGCAGGAAATTAAAAAATGTGAAAAAGTGACATTCACTAAACTAAATATTAAAACATTCCTGTATCAAACCATTTCACATACATTTTGTCCCGAGTGCTTTGTCCTGTGCCCTGCCTAAATTTTTACTGTTCTTTCTGCCTGGAAACTGAGAAATGTCCATGGCGTCCAAAAAGCGTCCCTTTAGGTCAAAAGCGGTTTTAGACCGGCTAGAGAACAGCGATAGTAAATCAGAACTACTTGCAGAATTGAGTGATAATGATTTGTGGGGAAATTCATCATCAGACACTGAAAACGATTTTGCGACTTTGCTCAGTGATGTGCGAACTTGGCATATATTTCAAATTTCAGTGTTTTTTTGTTTGATTATATTATTGAATTAAATTTATTATTATTATATTATTATTTTTTATGATTATTTATTAAATTATAATATAATGATTTTCGTTTTTCAAATTTTAACATACCTGGGAATGTTTACTAGACTCTTGTTCGGACAGATTTCAGTGAGTTATTCTTAAAAATTACAGGCCTACAATAAAAAAAATACATATTTCCATGCAAAAAAATTTACCACTTTGAGCACAGAAATATGGACATAATCAGACCGCTAGGGAGGCTATGATAAATAAGGCAGTGCAGCGTACAGTGGGTTCATCCAGAATTTGTAGTGTTAGTATGTGGTCCCACCCCTTTAGCACCTTCTGGATTATAGTCATGTAGAAGCTATTGGGATTTGAGCACAGGTATATCTTTCCTTTGCTTAGTAAGATATTATTATTATTCATTTTTATTATATTATTTATATAGCACCAACTGTTTTATGCTCTTGCAGTCATAGTGACTCATTAAGTGCATAATGTGGAGGAGCTGAAAATGCGCTACAGTAATAGAGTGTCTCCTTATGTCTTTGAGTGCTTACCCGTGAATATGACAAATAAATACATAGAATTTAAACATTCTGGCTAGTTTGCGAACATTTGTAACATAGTTAATCGATAGCACTAATGTAAAATATATAGCAAAATTCCAGCTTAGTCACTCTTCTACTGCTCTAGCTCAAAAACTAGGTTCTCTTTGCTCAGCTGATTTTGTTTTTTTTATTTTTAAGGTGCTATTCTCACTTTATGTTGCAGGTTTACATCTATTTTAAATAATAATGATTTTAAAGGCTAATTTGTTTTAAAAAAAATAAAAAACATGTTATATTTCCCTGCTCTGTGTAATGGTTTTACACAGAGCAGCCCCAATCCCCTTCTTCTCAGGTCCCCTGCAGGCGCTCCTGGCCCCTTCCCTGTCGAGTGCTCCCAAAGCAAGCCACTTGCTATGGGGGCACCTCCCGAGCTGGCTCTTTGTGTCCATAAGACAAACAGAGCACTGCTCAGCCCCACCCCCTGCTCCCTCCTCACTGGCTGTGATTGACAGCAGCAGGTGCCAATGGCTCCCATTGCCGTGTCTCAGCCAATGAGGAGAAAGATAGAGACATGGGAGAGCCATTGCTCTTGTGCACATCAGTGGATCGAGATGGGACTTGGGTGAGTATTGGGGGAGGTCTGGTGGGGGATGCCGCACACAGAATGTTTTGTACTCTCTTGCATAGGATGTATGAAGGTAAAAAATCTTCAGCCTTTACAACCACTTTAAGAAAGAATCTTTCTAATATTTATTTTATTGTTTAATATAGAACTGGCCACAAGTCCACAGTCCATTACAGAGACCATTTAACCATTCACATCTAAAATATACATTACATATGAGGGGCATTCAAGTCAATCCGAGACTCTTGAGTTTATATAATAAAAGAACTGCATTTATTTTTCAATATACTCCCCTGCTACATTGATAGACTTATCCCGGTATTTAACTAATGCCTGGAAAGCTTCGGCATAGAAAGATTTGTCAGTACGCCTGAACAATCCTAGGACTGCCTGCTTCACTTCATCATCGTTGTGTTCACCGTTCGCACAGAAAGATTTCACAACAGGTTATGTGCTGATTTATGCAGGATCAGGCGTTCCATGTGCTAAATATTCACAGATATGACTGCTGTGGGCTGGGAACCACCACGGCTGGGATTGCCACCGACAGACGTTTCGGCCATCTTTGAAACGTTTATGCCATTCAAATGCCTTACTGTGGCTGAACATCTCATCACCGTACTGTGCTTGAAGTTTTCTGTAGATATCCGCAGGTTTTATGCTTTAGTTCACAAGAAACTTCATCACCACACGGTGTTCCATCCACACGCTAACACTGTTGTCTGCCATTTGGATTACCAGTTTCTGGACTGGCCTGCGACATGTGCACCACCTATCAGTAGTAGGACCACACATGTAGTACCGCCACGCTAGCATCCCTCTTTATACCTGTAAAATGAAAAGTGCCGGTTTGACTTGAACACCCCTTGTAATATACCAAATTTTCTGGCGTATAAGACGACTTTTCAACCCCTGAAAATCTTCTGAAAAGTCGGGGGTCTTCTTATACGCCGATGCGAGCCGGTGTCAGGGCGGCACTTTTTTTTTTTTTCCTCCTCCAATGGACACTAAGTACAGGGGTGGGCAGAGGGGCTGCTGTACCTTACCTGGCTCCGGTCCCACGACGATCCGGTCCAGGAAGCGCGGCTGCTCCTTCTTTCAGTTCGGCCGCTCGATGGTCACGCTAACGCGCTCGGCTCCGCCTCCTCGCCGGTGATTGGGCGCCAGCACTGGAAAGGCACACAGGCGACCAATCACCGGCGAGGAGGCGGGAGCCGAGCGGTCCCCCGCGAAAATCGAGCGGCCGAACTGGAAGGAGCAGCCGCTCCTCTCCCCCACTGACACTAACGATGGGGCACTATTCTTCCTCCACACTGACACCAACGATGAGGCACTGGTTCCTCCCCCACTGACACCAACGATGAGGCACTGTTCCTTCCCCACTGACACCAACGATGAGGCACTGTTCCTTCCCCACTGACACCAACGATGAGGCACTGTTCCTTCCCCCTGACACCAACGATGAGGCACTGTTCCTTCCCCACTGACACCAACGATGAGGCACTGTTCCTCCCCCACTGACACCAACGATGAGGCACTGTTCCTTCCCCACTGACACCAACGATGAGGCACTGTTCCTTCCCCACTGACACCAACGATGAGGCACTGTTCCTCCCCCACTGACACCAACGATGAGGCACTGTTCCTCCCCCACTGACACCAACGATGAGGCACTGTTCCTTCCCCACTGACACCAACGATGAGGCACTGTTCCTTCCCCACTGACACCAACGATGAGGCACTGTTCCTCCCCCACTGACACCAACGATGAGGCACTGTTCCTTCCCCCACTGACACCAACGATGAGGCACTGTTCCTTCCCCACTGACACCAACGATGAGGCACTGTTCCTCCCCCACTGACACCAACGATGAGGCACTGTTCCTTCCCCACTGACACCAACGATGAGGCACTGTTCCTCCCCCACTGACACCAACGATGAGGCACTGTTCCTCCCCCCACTGACACCAACGATGAGGCACTGTTCCTTCCCCACTGACACCAACGATGAGGCACTGTTCCTTCCCCACTGACACCAACGATGAGGCACTGTTCCTCCCCCACTGACACCAACGATGAGGCACTGTTCCTTCCCCACTGACACCAACGATGAGGCACTGTTCCTTCCCCACTGACACCAACGATGAGGCACTGTTCCTCCCCCACTGACACCAACGATGAGGCACTGTTCCTTCCCCACTGACACCAACAATGAGGCACTGTTCCTTCCCCACTGACACCAACGATGAGGTACTGTTCCCTTCCCCACTGACACCAACGATGAGGCACTGTTCTCCCCACTGACACCAATGATGGGGCACTATTCCTCCTCTCCACTGACACCAATGATGGGGCATTATTCCTCCCACTGATACCAATAATGGGGCACTATAACCTTCCACTGATACCAATGATGGGGCACTATTCCTCCCACTGATACCAATGATGGGGCACTATTCCCCCACTGATACCAATGATGGGGCACTATTCCTCCCCCACTGACACCAATGATGGGGCACTATTCCCCCACTGATACCAATGATGAGGCACTATTCCTCCCACTGACACCAATGATGGGGCACTATTCCTCCCACTGACACCAATGATGAGGCACTATTCCTCCCACTGACACCAATGATGGGGGCACTATTCCTCCCACTGACACCAATGATGGGGCACTATTCCTCCCACTGACACCAATGATGGGGACACTATTCCTCCCACTGATACCAATGATGGGGCACTATTCCTCCCACTGACACCAATGATGGGACACTATTCCTCCCACTGACACCAATGATGGGACACTATTCCTCCCACTGACACCAATGATGGGGCACTATTCTCCCCACTGATACCAATGATGGGGCACTATTCCTCCCACTGACACCAATGATGGGGCTCTATTCCTCCCACTGACACCAATGATGGGGCACTATTTCTCCCCACTAATACCAATGATGGGGCACTATTCCTCCCACTGATACCAACGATGGTGCACTATTTCTCCCACTGATACCAACGATGGTGCACTATTCCTCCCACTGATACCAATGATGGGGCACTATTCCTCCCACTGATACCAATGATGGGGCACTATTCCCCCACTGATACCAATGATGGGGCACTATTCCTCCCACTGACACCAATGATGGGGCACTATTCCTCCCACTGACACCAATGATGAGGCACTATTCCTCCCACTGATACCAATGATGGGGCACTATTCCTCCCACTGACACCAATGATGGGGCACTATTCCTCCCACTGATACCAATGATGGGGCACTATTCCTCCCACTGACACCAATGATGGGGCACTATTCCTCCCACTGACACCAATGATGGGACACTATTCCTCCCACTGACACCAATGATGGGGCACTATTCTCCCACTGATACCAATGATGGGGCACTATTCCTCCTACTGACAACAATGATGGGGCACTATTCTCCCCTGATACCAATGATGGGGCACTATTCCTCCTACTGACAACAATGATGGGGCACTATTCCTCCCACTGATACCAATGATGGGGCACTATTCCTCCCACTGACACCAATGATGGGGCACTATTCCTCCCACTGATACCAATGATGGGGCACTATTCCTCCCACTGACACCAATGATGGGGACACTATTCCTCCCACTGACACCAATGATGGGGCACTATTCTCCCCACTGATACCAATGATGGGGCACTATTCCTCCTACTGACAACAATGATGGGGCTCTATTCCTCCCACTGACACCAATGATGGGGCACTATTCCTCCCACTGATACCAATGATGGGGACACTATTCTCCCCACTAATACCAACGATGGGGCACTATTCCTCCCACTGACACCAATGATGGGGCACTATTCCTCCCACTGATACCAATGATGGGACACTATTCTCCCCACTAATACCAACGATGGGGCACTATTCCTCCCACTGACACTAACGATGGGGCACTATTCCTCCCTCTGACACTAACGATGGGGCACTATTCCTCCCTCTGACACTAACGATGGGGCACTATTCCTCCCACTGATACCAATGATGGGGCACTATTCCTCCCACTGATACCAACGATGGGGCACTATTCCTCCCACTGATACCAATGATGGGGCACTATTCCTCCCACTGATACCAATGATGGGGACACTATTCCTCCCACTGACACCAACGATGGGGCACTATTCCTCCCACTGATACCAATGATGGGGCACTATTCTCCCAACTAATACCAATGATGGGGCACTATTCCTCCCACTGACACCAATGATGGGGCACTATTCCTCCCACTGATACCAACGATGGGGCACTATTCTCCCCACTGATACCAACGATGGGGCACTACTTCTCCTCCCCACTGACACCAACGATGGGGCACTACTTCTCCTCCCCACTGACACCAACGATGGGGCACTATTCCTCCTCCCCACTGACACCAACGATGGGGCACTATTCTCCCCACTGATACCAATGATGGGGCGCAATTGCTCCCACTGACACACCAATGATGGGGCGCAATTCCTCCCACTGACACTAATGGTGGGACACTATTCCTCCCACTGACACCAATGATGGGGCACGATTCTTCCCACTTACACCAATGATGGGGCACTATTCCTCCCACTGACTAATGATGGGGCACTATTCCTCACACTGACACCAATGATGGGGCACTATTCCTCCCACTGACACCAATGATGGGGCACTATTCCGCCCACTGACACCAATGATGGGGCACTATTCCTCACACTGACTAATGATGGGGCACTATTCCTCACACACTGACACTAATGATGGGGCACCATCATTGGTGTCAGTGGGAGGAATAGTGTCCCATCATTGGTATCAGTGGGAGGAATAGTGCCCCATCATTGGTATCAGTGGATGAAATAGTGCCCCATCATTGGTGTCAGTGGGAGGAGTAGTGCCTCATCATTGGTGTCACTGGGAGGAATAGCACCCCATCATTGGAATACCATACTGAAATAGCATACCATATTGAAATCAAATCTGATGTTTTTTTCATTTTTATTTGGTGTGCGTTGGAAGAGGGGTAGTCTTATACGGCGAGTATAGCTCAAACCCTATATTTTAACAGGAAAAGTAGGGGGTCGTCTTATACGCCCAGTCGTCTTATACGCTGGAAAATACGGTAATTTTATATATATATATATATATATATATATATATATAAAAAGTGCTAATATACTAAATAACACAAATAAATACTACTGTCCAAAAATTATATTGTCCACAATAAAAAATAAAATATAATCAAATAAAATAAACAGAATAGACAAAAATCCTCCAGAAAGACAGTCCGCAAAAAGGCTTCCAGCCGAATGTAGATCCAGTGATTATGGAGATCGAACCTCAAAAAAAGAGAGAACTCACATAGTGTGATACCATAAAAACGCGTAAGTAATATCAACATCACTGCAAAACGCATGTGAATCACACTAAACCACACGTGGTGACTCATGCATCTACATTCGGCTGGAAGCCTTTTTGCGGACTGTCTTTCTGGAGGATTTTTGTCTATTCTGTTTATTTTATTTGATTATATTTTATTTTTTATTGTGGACAATATAATTTTTGGACAGTAGTTTTATTTATTTATTTATTAGTGTGTTATTTAGTATATTAGCACTTTATATATATGTATTTGGGTGATACACTTTTTGGGGTGAAAAGTGTTTAGGTGCAATTGGGGAATTATTTAAAGGGTACACCTTTCATTTTTTGTTATTCAATTATATATATATGTATATTGTTAAGGAAAGGAACCCTCTGTGTCTAATTATCAGGGCTCAGCGAAAAGACTTTATAAATTCCAAGTATGTACACTGGTTGTACACAAAGAGAAGCAACACTCACCCTGTGGCACGGCTGCATGAACTTCAAGAGGCTGTTCAATTTAAGGATGTGTATGCACTGATCCAAGCTTATGCTGAAAAGGTGGATCTAACCGAGCCAATTCCACAACCGGCACAGGTAACATTTGAATGATTTATTATGGCGGATCATTTTTTATCAGCAGATTCAAAAGTTTGACTTGCAAAACGATTACCATGTAAGTCAATTCGATTTAATTTACTTACATGGCAGTCCTTTAATATTTATAGTCTGTCCAGACTTATTACAGGGTTCCCGTAGTCTACAAAAGATGAAAACATCTTTTCCCTCCCCTAGTGGTATAGGATCCAAGCAGGTTACTCTACAACCACACACACCCAGCATGAATACCCAACAGACCCTCTTAATTGATCATGTGATCTTATACTTGCAAAGGATCATATTTAATCTCCAGAATGTTACCTTGCAAAATAACAAAAACTTTTATTTGTGTATTATGGAAAGCATGGTTTGTTTGTTTTTTTTGAAGGTAGGTGACAAGGAGGGCTGTATCACTACTATAAGCTGCTATTATCCTGTACAGTGGGATAAGGCAGTGTTGGCCTCCAACACTGGATGGACTGTGTGATCGGTAGTAGCCCTCCAAACAGGATCTCTTTTAAGTGAACCATAGGCCAGGCTTTGGCCATTTAAGGATTAGTTCACCTTTGGCGACATGTAACATGTTCCCACTGCTGCAGCCACTGCATTCTGTCCTCTCTCTCACTATGACACCAGTACGGGGAGAATTTCCCTGTACTAGCTGTCAATTTTTGAAAACCGTGTGGGGCTACGCCCACACATCCACGTCATTATTCACAGAGTTCTGTCAATTAATGAAGTACAAGTCCCAACAGCCGTTGCAACTGACAGCTTGTGGTTTTCAGTGAACTACCATGGCTCTGTTGAGCGCTCTGATAGTTCATTGAGTCTGTCAGACTGTATCTGCTTGCCCATACGGGATGTATGAGCACAGGGATACACTGAAAGGTTTGCAAGAGTCTTGCATGGCACCAACAATCTGCTGATCAATGATGCAATGCTTTCCAGGCTCCAAAAAAAAAATAGTAAATGCACATTTTTTCACCTGCAAAAAAAATGGCCTTTTTTTTTAAGTGAACTTATCCTTTAAAGTAGCTGTAGGTGTTGTGGAGTAATTAATCTATAAACATCACAAGAGGGTCTCTGGAGCCCATACATAGTCTTTTTTGAATGGCTCAGAGCACCTGTTTGTTTACGTTAGAAGTCTGGCAGGTTGCTAAGTTCCATATGCTGTAGGAAGCTAGGGAAAATGAGCTGCAAATTCAGTGCCTGTGTTATAAATGGAGGATGAATTTCTCCAAGTTGCTGCAGCTATATAGGTCAAAGATGGCTTATTTTTAAAGTCATTTTACTACTTATTAAGAATATGCCATCACTTAAATGCTCATAGTCTGGCCGCAGGTGCACTTTGTGTCCACATTTCATGATACATTAGTTCAGCCATGTGTGCAGGCTTTTTGTTACTGCCTACAGTCTAGGATCAACCCTTTTCTCTGAAGAGTTCCACAAAATATGCTATATGTGTTTTTAAAGTCAAATTTCATGTTTAATTCTCACTTAACAATATTTTTGAAGGAGGCTGGTGAAACCATTCTTCACTTGGCGGTTTTATTGTCAGACCGTACATCTTTACACATTGTGGACTTTTTGGTGCACAACAGGTAAGCTGCCTTTCCATTGCTCTTCCATTCTACCTAACAATGTCTGAAAATGGTAATTTTTATATCTGAATGATCAGAATGTTGCACTATAATCTTCATATATAGGTCAATGTTAAAATACATGACGATGTATAGTACATACATACCCATGATATGTATTAAGGCTGTATCAGGGTTTGCATAGTATTGATGGTTTTAATGATAAATATTTGCCTTCTGTTTTCCCACAGTGGGAACCTAGTGAAGCAGACGGTCCGAGGCAACACCCCTCTCCATTACTGCAGCTTGTATAATAAAACTGAGAGCATGAAACTCTTCCTGAGAGCCAAAGTCAATGTAAAGATCAGTAAGTGTCCACTAGGTGGCAGTAGATAAGTACTTTTTATGCTCCTGATGGGATTTTAAAGGGAAAACTGTATTTGTTTTATATTCCTTATAAGCATTTATATAGCACAAACAGTTTACAAAGCATGTTACACACACACACACACACACACATATATATATATATATATATATAGTAGTATAAAGCCCCAAAAAAAGGCACAGCACTATACACTCAAGCAAATGACAAAGTCCGTAAAACATAAATCATCAGACCAATATTATGTGCAAATTCATAGCCATGCTCAGTGAGTTTGTGCTATAACCAGGGGCAGACTGACCATTTGGGAACTCGGGCACTGCCCGAGGGCCCGGGGTCAGTAGGGGGCCCCATGAGATGTCCCTGGTACCTTTCATAGGCTTTTTTGGGTGTGGTTTGAGTGTGGGTGAGGACACAGGGGCCCCATGATCCCCTATCACCTGGGGGCCCCATGAGTTGGCAGTCCACCCCTGGCTATAACAGTAATATTACAGATACTTTTTTAGCACCATCAATTTCCGCAGCGCTTTACATGTATATATTATACATTCACATCAGTCCCTAACCCTCAAGGGGTGTACAATCTAAGTCCCTAACTCACATTCATACACACACAGACTAGGATCAGTTTAGACAGGATCCAATTAACCTACCAGCATGTCTTTGGAGGGTGGGAGGAAACCAGAGTACCCGGAGGAAACCTCTCAGGCACAGGGAGAACATAAAATTTAAAAAAATTTCAATTGCCCCCATCCTCCCATGCTCACACACAAATGAAAGTGCACCCGTTGATACCACACGCATATGAAAATGGTGATTACAACATACATGTGAGATATCGTGGCAAACGTCAGAGTGAGAGCAATATTTCTAGCACCAGACCTCCTGTGTAACTTTAAACTGGTAGCCTGTAAAGGCTTTAAAAGTGTTGGCTATGGAAAATGTAATTTACCATAGCTTGTCACCATTTTATGGACGTGCATAATTTCAAAGTGTGAAGTGTTTGCTATGTATTTACTTGGTGTAACATCATCTTTTATAATTTTATTAAAAAAATGGATATTATATTGTGTTTGTGTTCACTAAAATTCATTAAAGTCTTTTTTTTTTCCTGCAAATTCTTTTTTAACCGCGGCACAAATATCGAAGACATAAAAAATTGCAACAGCTACCATTTTATTCTACAGGGCCTCAGCTTAAAAATATATATATAATGGGAATTCTAAGTAATTTTCTATCGAAAAAATGCAGATTTTCACATATGTGAGAAATGTCAGAATTGGCTTGGGGATCAAGAGGTTAAAGTGATTTTAAAAATTGTAGCACAACCCATTCAGTTTAAAATAGAAAAGAAAAGCAAAACAGTTGTGCACAGATATAAAATACATTATAAATACCCTTTTCCCCTTCTTTTTTATAAGTGATAATATTCCATGTGTTCTCAGCTTCATAAGAGCTGGGGGGAGGAGAAACAGCAGCACACTGATATTCCCAGTGAATGGCTGTGCAGGGGAGGGGGTATCAGGACAAGTCTGATCAGTGGAGGAGAGCAGGCTGAGTTCCCAGCACAGCTAGAGAACTGACCACAGTGTGTTCTCCTGCTTAGTGTGGTCAGTTTTTAATAGGAAAGCAGAGGGACAGGCAGCAACACCAATGATTTCACACAAAGGTAGTAATACAAAGAGAACAGGATACTTTTTCATACAAGTACATGGTGTCTGTGTATTTACTGCTTGTACATACTGTATTTGAAAGAAAATATAAAACTTGTTGATACTGACCATAATAAATAAATAAAAATATTATAAAACCACTATACATTTTTCCCTGAGCACATTATTGGGTAGCTGGAGGTCTTTTCTGTGTCCAGGCCTGCAGACCCATCTATTTTTACTGTCTATAAAGATTTTTTAAACAGCTGGAACCCCTATTTTTTTTTTCTTTATACAAACAAAAACAATGATCCTTCCTTTAGCGCAGTGGTTCTTAACCTGGGTTCGATCGAACCCCAGGGGTTTGGTGAGTCAGTCTCGGGGGTTCGGCGGAGGTGAAGACCCACACCCGACTCATATGATTTGTGCAGTAAATATTCATTATTATGTTTTTGTTTTTGTGTGAAAATCATGCTTTAATGGTTTTGTTCTTTGTTCTTAATGGTTTTGTTCATTTTGTGCACCTATGTATAAATATATACCTAAATATATACCTATGTTTTGAATTTTAAAAATCATATTTTATTTTTCCAATTAAGAAGGGTTCGGTGAATGCGCATATGAAACTGGTGGGGTTCAGTAACTCCAACAAGGTTAAGAACCACTGCTTTAGCGGCTGGAGTCCATCTGTTCCCCTCACAAAAAGAAATGGTAATGATAGAAGCACTCTCAAAATAATACGTTCAATATTGTCTCTGTATAACTGACAATCAGACTTCATACATCCATCTACTTCTTCCTGTGAATCCAATCTTCCCATACAGTGGTCTCCATGCTTCTAATCCTGCCCAATGTGCTGACATTTATAATAAAAAACCATATGTGTATTAGTTCACCAGTGTTCTTCTTTATCTACCTTACCCTTCATATACTTGCTGTATATCCAATCAATTATTTTCAGATTCACGCCAACTCATTGGCTCCTTATGTCTGGTACTGCAATGGTCGTATCACATGAAGATCCACACAATTTCACCCAAAATACCAATATAGTGCAGTACTGTTTTTTTAAAATCTCTCCCAGATAGAAAGCCACTCACATTGTGCATTCCCATTAATATCCATAGAAGGATCCACCAAGTGTATCACCTCGACAAAGACACTCCAAGCTCCTTTCCGAACTTCGAAAAAAAAAGGTGCTTTTAATAAACGATTCCACTTTCTTCCTGCTCTTTGCCAGCCTGACTTGTGCAAATGATCCCCAAAAAAACAGACTAATATTGCTTAAAAACAATGCATGAAAGTAAAACTTAAAACCACTCACATTTCCATATCACCAAAATAGTGCATATCCCTTTAAATGATACAGATCCACCGCACACAAGTGTTTAATGGTGTCACTCCATGCACTTTACCAGATCAACTCCTCCACTTTCAACAGTCCCCTTCTTAACTCCAGTTTCTGTCCAGGGTTGCCATGCAAGAGATATCATGCAGAGACCATAGTGTAATAAATCCTTATAAAACCATATTTTTATTAAAATGTATGCACTTACAAACATTCAGTGTAAAAAAACAAATGTTTGTAACCACTTCCAAAACGGCTGCTGCAGCACTTCCATTGTGATTGCGTCAATTCCAGTATCTGATGTCACTTCCGACCGATTTCGTCATCAAGACGACTTTCTGAGGCTGAGACACACCCTTGGAAGAAGTCTTGATGATGAAACCAGCCCCAAGTGACATCAGACAGCCATTTTGGAAGTGGTTACATCTGATTTTTGGTTATACAGAGAAAATATTGAACTTATTATTTTGAGAGCTCTGGTCACTTCTATTATTATCTTTACTGCCTGCTGGATTGGTGTGCTTTACACAGGGATGTGCCATTATAGTATCAGGTATGCGTGTGACAAGAAGCGACACGTAGCAGTACAATAAACGGCAATCCATGCCATACTACTTCATTAAAGTGATAGTAAAGGGTTGGCTTTTTAAAAAAATAAATAACAAGCATGTCATACTTACCTGCCCTGTGTAATGGTTTTGCACAGAGCAGCCTCAATTCTCTTCTTCTGGGGTCCCCTGCCGACGCTCCTGATTCTTCCTCCTTGACCAATGCCCCAATAGCAAGCCGCTTGCCATGGGGGCACTGGTGTGTGCTCGCTCTCGAGACCTGCTCTATGCGTCCATAAGACACATAGAGTTGTGGGTCAGCTCCACCCCCACTGTATCCTCATTGGATCACTGGCTGTGATTGACAGTAGAGGGAGCCAAAGGTTGTTTCAGCAAAAGAGCAGAGTGAGTCCCAGGACAGCTGAGGCTCCAGAGCACATCGCTCAGTGGGGGCTCAGGTAAGTATTGGGGGGGCTGTGGGGAGAGCAGCACACAGAAGGTTTTTTACCTTCATGCATAGAATACATGAAGGTAAAGAACTTTCAGCCTTTACAACCACTTTACCATGACTCTCCTGCGGCTTTAGGGTAGTGCTGAGACACAGTATATAGATCTGCAGTAGCTCTTAAAAAATGTATATTGTAGTTTTTAGTTCACAAGGTAACTTTAAATGTTTTCAGTCTGGAAGACTAACCTAAGGCAATATATGTATAGCTATCTAGGGGCCATGGCAGAGTGTTCTAATATTCCTATTCACCCCACCTATATTGGCTGACAACCCTGCCTTAAAACCTTCCCCATACTCGATTCAGCAAGGTTGTAGCCTCAGTGTGGTACAGACAGGCAGCATTTAGAAACTATTTATCCATCCAGTTAAAGTTAGGGAGTGGATCATCTACTACATATAAAACAGATCATTTGAAACCAAGGCTGGCTGAAAAATTAAATCATAATTACTCCCCTTGTTGCCGAGAGATAAAAACTCGCACACATACCATTTATTACATGTGTTTAGAAGGCACACTAGAATCAAATTGGTTTGGTTGGCAGGCATGTGTCCCATACCCATGTTGATTTTGAATAAAGAACACGTTAGCCTGGAAATTCTGTCCAGATTTATAGCCTTTACTGATTTTCTTGATAGCTGGGCAAGTCCTGCACCAACAATGGGGTCGAAGGTAGATTGGTGTCTTCCTTGATTGTTTCGTTGGGCTTTGTGTTCACTTTTTTCTTTTTCTTCACAGAAAATGAAGCTGGGGAGACCGCGTTGGACATTGCCAGACGGCTAAAGCACACCCTTTGTGAAGATTTGGTAATAACGTTTAGAGAGAATTCCATGCATAACCTATGTGATTGCTGCAAAAGCTGTCTTACAATATAAACAAATTGAAAATGACTTTTTTTTTGTTTGTATTTATCCATAAGTTTCTTAAATTGCTAAAAAGAAATGTAGACAGAATTTCACAGAATTATAGCTTTCTTCCTCCATTTCTCCATTTAATTGGCTCAAGACCTATTTCAGAAGTCTCTACAGAGCTTGAAGCTTAATTATAGGCAGTCTGTAACATGGAATATGTCATCCCAGCAATGCCCTTAGGCTTAGAATTTGTATGCTTTAAGACTTGGTTCACGCTGCTATGACCCCAAAGTCATACGACTTCCAGTGCGCCTTTGAGTTGTGCCTTGCTTGAGGCCTAATGCAACTTCAATTCAAATTGGATGTTTTGTGACTTTGGCAAATCAAAACAATACAGAGCATGAGACACATTTTTGAACTTTAACACTGTCTGAAGTTGCAACTTCACAACGTCCTTGTGACTTTTGTGATTTTTAACATTGCAGTCTATGGCATTATTGTAGCAAGGAAGACACAGAAAAGTAGTGCAGGAACTGCTACTGCTTTGTTGCAGCGACTTGAGTCACAGGAATGAAGATGGCACCCTATGAAATCAATGGGGTTTATTTACTAAAACTGGAGAGTTAAAAATCTGGTGTAGCTCTGCATAGAAACCAATCAGCTTCCAAGTTTTATTGCCAAAGCTTTATTGAACAAGCTGAAGTTAGAAGCTGATTGTCTACCATGCACTGCTACACCAGATTCTGAGTGCTCCAGTTTTACTAAATCTGCCTCAATGTGTTTTAATTTGTCATATGAGATGTACATCACAGCAAGTTGCATGAGAAGTCACAGCAATGTGAACCAGGGCTAAAGGGGTAATACCATCCAAAAGGTAAACCACTTAGTCTCTTAAAGACTCAGATTTTGTTTTTTTTTTATTGTCTATTCACACAAACAATGTGAATGGAGGAATCCTTTCTGCTGAATCAGCTGAATATTTATACATCTATGACCAGCTTTAGTTCTCTAAGGGGTTCTGTTAGATTCCATTCTTGGATCTGCATGCCTTCTGTGCCCATTTTAAGGGGCTCCCACTCTGTCTGATGGATTTTTTTATTTATTTTATACAATAAAGAATGTATCAGGAGGAGCTGGTACATGCAAAGTTGGGCAGAAACATCCAAAACTCCCAGGTGTACAGAAGCAGAGTCAGGAATTATGGCAGGGTGATCTTACTGTTGGAGTATCCAAGACCTTTAACCACTTCCCGACCGGCCGTTGCATATAAACGGACGGACGGTGGCACTGCAGGGTCGGGTGGCCGTCTATAAACGGCCTCCCCACACCCTGCTTGTGCGCGCTCCCTGGGAGCGCGCAGCACCGCGATCTGGTGCCCGCTGTGTCCTCCGGACACAGTGAAACACCGATCGTCGGACGGGACCTCTGTACGAGGTCCCGATCATGTGATCACTGATTGGCCAATCAGTGATCACATGCAAAGTAGTAAGCAAGATGTCACTTGTGACATCATTGCTTACTATGTGTGAAATCTGTGAATGATCACAGAGGTCACATGGTACAAGCCTATTCACAACAGGCTTGTACCATGTGACAAGCTGTGACCAATCACAGCTCAGTCAGTACTTCTCAATGAGTGCATGAATGCACACAGAGAGAAAGAGAAATGATTGCTTTTACATCCTATATGGGTGTAAAAGCAATGTGTAAAAAAAAAAAAAAAATCTTCATCACCCCCCACAAGTAGTACAGTGTCACCATGGTGACACTGTACTGCTAGGGTGACAGTATGTAAAAAAAATAAAATAAAATAAAAAATAATAATATAAAAAAATAAAATAAAAATGTAAAAAAAAAATGTTTAAAAATTATAATTTTTGTTATAAAAACTAATTTGGATTTTTTTTTTTTTACTAAAAAGATAACAGAATAAATTTTGGCAAAGATTTATGATGAAATATTATTTATTTGCAAAATTTTATAAAAAAAACTTTTTTTCAAAATTTTTGGACTTTTTCATTTACATAGCAAAAAAAAATAAAAATCCCAGTGGTGAATAAATACCACCAAAATAAAGCTTTATCTGTTTCAAAAAAATGGTAAAAAATTCATTTGGGTACAGCGTTGCATGACCGCGTAATTGTCATTCAAAGCGTGATAGCGCTGAAAGCTGAAAATTGCCCTGGTCAGGAAGGGGGTAAAAGTGTCCGGTCTTGAAGTGGTTAAGAACTATATTTGTTACTTTAGTTTATCTTTCCGTTGCATCTCATTTACCCACCTTCCATATTGCTTGTTTTATCTCCATTAGCTGCTGCAAGCTCAGAACAATCAATTTAATATGCGTGTTCACGTGGAATATGAGTGGCGTCTGCGCCAGGATGATATGTATGAAAGTGATGACGATCTCGATGAAAAGGTAGGAGAGATCTTTCAAAGTCTGTTTGTAATCAACTGCATCAAGATGCATCCATGCGGTCACCTTGCGGTGGATATGCACCGTGGTGACAGCACTTACTGATTGGTGAAGATAAACTCTAAAAAGGGGCAAAAACGTAATCCTGGGCTCATTATATTGGTTTCCTTTCAGCTGGGCCCCGTCAAAAAGGAGCGAAATCTGCGGCCATACAGTTGCTTCCAGTCGCCCCCAGTTCTCCGTTTCCAGACAGAGGACCTCCTACATCATTTTTAAGACGGGCTTCACAGGTGTCTCAGGACTCACGTTATGATATAGGAAGTGGACAGTTGAATACTGAAAATGCAGGGACTCCAACAACGCCATATACACCACCTCTGCCACCCCGTAATCCTATCAGAGGTACAAGATCTATCTATCTATCTCTCTCTCTCTCTCTCTCTCTATCTATCTATCTCTATCATGTGTACCTAGGTCAGCAATATTTGCCTATTCCATATCCATTTCCAGTTAGTTAGTGCTTAAAGGAGAAGTTTGGAGTTCTGAATAAGAATAAACATTCATACTGACCGCTACAGCTGCAGCATCTGTCCCCCACCAGCTCTAAGACCGAAATGAGCGATCACATGACCACTGATGCTCAGTTATTGGGGGCTGTCAGTCACCACTCTGTGCTCTGCCTTCCCTGCTCTCACTGGAGCGCTGAGCTGGAGAGAGGGCTGGAGTGGCTGGCTCAGGCTCCCAGCAACACACTGAGAGGCTGCAGAGCAGGCATTTAGGTAGATCCCAACATTATTGTCAGGATCCTTTCAGAGCCTAGAGCGGTTCTGTGATGTCAGCTGACAGTAGGCTTTAGCTGATTCTTGGTCAAAACAGTGCAAAGATAAGTGCATTCATGTGACCCAGAAGAGACGTATGGCCAAAACAGCTTTGGCCATACTTCTTTCAACTTTCCTTTTTGTTAGTTGAAGGTTATCGGTATGCTTAGGCCCATCCTGTTTATTAAGAGAACCTGTCACTTTGTCCTGAATGGCCAAAAATAAAAACACATTTAAAGGATAGCCTGGATAAAGCTTAACTCCCAGGTCAAAAACATTAAATATATTCCTTTATAGCCACAATGGATATATAACCACTTTTTGTGCACCAAAAACAAACCTAGAAACATCATCACTGTGGTGTGCATAGCCGGTGCAGAGTTGTGAGTGGACCCAGCAGCTCCGCTCACTACAGGCTGCCTGCAGGAGAAGACAAGTCATCCTGCACGGGAAGAAATTTGCAAAGATACAAAGAGACGCGTAAGAATATGCATTGCACCAATCAGAGCTGTATTGCTTTGCATAGGTATGCTTCCAGGTAGTTGTCATACAGTTCACATACTGTATATGTATTTAGATATTTGCCAGGAGTTGAGCTTTAAATGTTCTATGTTCTACACTATGGCTTGGAACTGTAGTAAAGGAGGTGTCTGGGTTGCCTAAAGCAACCAACCAGCTTCCAGATTATTTCCAATGCAGGTTAGAAACTTAAAGTGGAGACCTGATTGGTTGCTATGGGCAACACAGACACTTTTGCTTTCTTCTTTTTTCCATTCTGTTCACCAAGACATTTCTTGGGCTTTTTATTAATAATGATGAAAATGAAGGCACACAAAGAAAATGAACCAAACACACACTTATCCTGAAATCTGGTTTGTCCTTTTTATAGCACCCAATGTACCACCACCACCTCCTCCTGCCAGCCCCTCACCTATCCCCAAAAAGCTGCCTGCTACACCTCCACTGACTACAAAGCACAAGAGGGCGCTCTCAGAGCCAGCCCCCATCATTCCACACAGTCCCTCCAGCCAAAGCAGCCTCCATTTCGGTAAGGTGACCACATTTTTAATGTATATTAAGTACTGTCTGTGCTGTCCATGGCTACCAATCAGATTCAGGCTTTTGTTCTTCAGCTGTCAATTTCAAGTTCAGGTTGTAGTTTTACCGATGGCTTTAGGGAAACACAGATCCAAGTAAAGAGTACCTGTGCTGTAACAATAAACATAATCTCGGCTCTCTGAACTCTCGGAAAGTGTTGGAATTTGCAAATTGTAGCAAACTATGCTTTGGGTATCATGAGAAACTTGTGGAAACATTTTATAGTATGAGTAGGTACCCAAAGCACTCCCCTACCCCCCACTGTCTTAAACTGTATCTAAACCCAAATTTCTTTTTAGTTTTTGGCTTTAGTTTTTCCGCACTGGTAAGATTAACCTTTTGCTTTTTGTCAAGGAGACCTTTGTCACTAGTACAGAAATTGAAAGGAAATCCAAAAATCTTAGTAGTTCATTAAAGGACACAGGAGTATAGTTAGAGGCGTAGGGCTATGCAGCTACCTGTTAGGAGATTGGGAAGATTGGATAACACCTCCCACTCCCAGGATTCCTTGGTTTTTTTATATTGTTCCAAGGTGTTTTCTCATGGTTTAGATGTGGTGAGAGCTGGAGAGGTGGAAGAAGCACAGATCCACAGAATGAATGAAGCAGGAAGTTCCTTGCTCTGTAGATCCTCAGGTACAACTCTCTCTCCAGCAAGAACAGCAGCAGTGCATTAGGCGATCTCCATAGCAGATGTAAAACTATTAAGCTCAAGGAACAGGAAATGCATTGCTATTTTTTTAAAGAAATACAGGACAAAATGTTTCAGGATACTATTTAGGCCCATTATATACAATATATATTTAGATGTTCATTATAACATAGCAAATCTTCACATTTTGAGTTTAGGCCCAGTTTGATTACATTGGTCTATTAGTCTACTTTTTGTCACAGTCCATTGCAATTTCAGTTTACGCATTTTCATTTGCAACCCATTTGTTCTGTTTTTGGTCTTAGAAGGTTTCTCATTGCAAGTCCTTAGATAAATCATATTACAGACTGATCAAAGCCTAAAGTCTAGGGGGGAAGCTTATTGCATACTTTGTAAAGCAGAATTTCACCACAGTGGATTGGGGAAGTGGTGAGGAACAAGTTTTTCTGTCCATGTTGGCAATTCTCCAACCAAAATGCATCGGTAGAACCTGAAAGACTTAAGAATTTCCTTTTCAAGGCCAATCCAAAACTAATGAGATATTGGGACACATGGACTTGTTAAATCCTTCATTAGATTCTTGTATTTTAGTGAGCTCTTTGGACCTGAAATCTACGTCCACCCATCTGCCAAAGCCATTCTGAGGGGTGGGGTTCAGTCTTCCAGTTATATTTACTTATGTAATCTTTTTTCATTTCAGTTGGAAGAATGAAGGGGGCAGTATTTTGGTAAAAAGATTCCCCCAATGGATTTCCTTGAGCAAAATAAATTGTCGAAATATATATTGGTGGGTTTTTCAGCCCACCGGTGTCTGTCTGCAAAATAAGTTTTTACGATGGACTGTTCCTTTAACCAATTGTGTGCTTTGCCTATTTAGAACAAAGTATTAGGTTTGCTTTACCCACCCAACCCCCCTCTTCTTTCACCAGCAACTGCTTACCTTTTCTTTGGATTCCCCGCCACCAGGACAAAGCACAGGTTCACCCTAAGATGTCTTATGCAGCCCATTTATTTGCAGCTAGACTTCTGCTAATTTTACAATACATTACCCTTTGTTTTTTGTGAAATAAAGGATGAATCCACATGCAAAAAATGTGCTTTTTTTAAATTTGCATTTATTTTTTTTTAGCCTGGAAAGCATTGCACCAGCAATCAGCAGATTGCTGGTGCCATGCAGGACTCCTGAAAACTGTCAGTGTATCTGCTTGCCTGTACATCCCGTGCGGGAAGGCAGATGCAGTCTGACTGGAAGACTCAATGAACTACCACGGCGCTTGACCGCACCATGGTAGTTCATTGAAAACTACAAGCTGCCAGCTGCAAAGGCTGTCAGGACTTGTAGTTCATTCATTCTGCCCCACGGCCGCACTGTCTTCAAATAGTGACAGCTAGTACAGGTAACTTCTCCCCGTACTGCTGTGGAAACATTTTATAGTGTAAGTAGGTACCCAAAGCACTCCCCTACCCCCCACTGTCTTAAAGTGTATCTAAACCCAAATTTCTTTTTAGTTTTTGGCTTTCGTTTTTCCGCACTGGTAAGATTAATCTTTTGCTTTTTGTCAAGGAGACCTTTGTCACTAGTACAGAAATTGAAGGGAATACTACAAATCTTAGTAGTTCATTAGAGGACACAGGAGTGTAGTTAGAGGTGTAGGGCTGTGCAGCTACCTTTTAGGAGATTTGGAAGATTGGACACTGCCAACCTATCAGAGCTGTTGGGACAGTCCAGCATAACCCCTCCCACTCCCAGGTTGCCTTGGTTTTTTGCTATTGTTCCAAGGTGTTTTCTTGTGGTTTAGATATGGTGAGAGCTGGAGAGGTGGAAGAAGCACAGATCCACAGAATGAATGAAGCAGGAATTTCCTTGCTCTGTAGATCCTCAGGTACAACTTTCTATCCAGCAAGAACAGCAGCAGTGCTTTTTTTTCTTAAATGTGCATTTACTATTTTCTTTTTTGAGCCTGGAAAGCATTGCACCAGCGATCAGCAGATCGTTCATGCCATGCAGGACTCCTGCAAACTGTCAGTGTATCTGCTTGCCTGTACATCCCGTGTGCAAAAGCAGATGCAGTCTGACAGGAAGACACAATGAACTACCACGACGCTTAACTGCGCCGTGGTAGTTCATTGAAAACTACAAGCTGCCAGCTGCAATTGCTGTCAGGACTTGTAGTTCATTCATTCTTCCCCACGGCCGCACTGTCTTCAAATAGTGACAGCTAGTACAGTAGACTTCTCCCCGTACTGCTGTCACAGAGATAGAGAGGGAATGGGCAGTGGTGGCAACATGTTACATGTTCCCAAAGGTGAACGTAAATCAGGGAATAATGTAACCTTTTTTTATTATACAAGACTCTCTGCTGTATAGATAGTCTAAATCTTTATTTACATTTATTTACTGACTGTTTATCATGGAGCTCTCTGGATGCCTAACAAATATTGTGTTCATTTGATAGACTATGGTTCCTGTTGTACATCTCCTTCCAAATATCTACAGTCGGAAGTTATGTCCAGAAGACCAAGGTTGGTGCTAGTAGTTGTGCACACCACCATTTGTTCTCCTTCCTTCTGGCCTCTACCCTTTGTCTGTTCTTAGTGAGGAGAGATAAGGGGAGCTAAAAAGAAATCTTCTAAATTACTGAATTTGTTTTTTGTGTGTTTTGAGTTGGTATGCTAAACTTGCCAATGTCCATTCAGGGCTGATTAGTTAGTGAATCTGTTTTAGCTTGACTTTTTAAAGCCCGACGCCAGGAAACTTAAAAATCACGGATCCAGTCCCACTGCAAGTTTTTGTAGTTAGTGATTCTAAAGGCTGAAAGGTTTTTTTACCTTCATGCATTTTATGTATGAAGATAAAAAACCTTCAGTGTGCAGCTTCCCCTCGGCCCTCCTAATAGTTACCCGAGCCTGATCTCGATCCAGCGATGTGTGCCATTGGCTCCCACTGCTGTCAATCACAGCCAGTGAGGAGGGAGTAGGGGACGAGCCACGCTCTGCTTCTTATAGGCACACAGATGTGGCTCGGGAGCGAGCACGCTTGAGTGCTCACAGAGCAAGCAGCTTGCGCTGGGGGCATTCAGCAGAGGGGAGGGGCTGCAAAACCTTTGCACAGAGCAGGTAGGTATGACATGTTTGTTATTTTTTTTTTTAAATCTGAACTTTAAGTATCACTTTAACTTACCTGATCTTAAGTTCCCCCATGCTGGAGTTGGGCTTTAAAGAAAAGAAACATGTAGACTGCCATTTCTGATCTCCTTATGTAAAAATGCTAGCTGCCTGGTTGTCCCTCCAGTCCTATAGCTTCAAACGTTTCTGAGTTACAGACCAGAAACACAAACACAGGTTAGGAGTTCTGACATCGTGCTGCCATTAGGTCATTGACTCAGTGAAGCCAGGGATCATCTTGCAACTAGCATTTGCCCAAGGTTGGCAGCCTACATATTTCTGTCTGTACAATGTTCATTTAATTCAGGCTTATGGTGGTTTTTATTCAAAATGGTTGTTTTTTTTTGTTTCTTTATTCAGCATTGGATCTCCAAAACTTAGCAGTCTTCATGAAGTGCCGGAGGTCCCACCAAAAGGTATTTTATCAAAATTGTTGCCTCCTGTTTTTTACAAATCAATTTATGTATGTACCGTATATATTTCTCTGATTATGCAAGCTTGTACTTGAACTCCGGGCACAAAAAAGTTTGTTTCAATATAGACCTCTATAGCCACAAAGGCTATCCACTTTCTTTCTTGTCCATTGAAAGGATGCCGGAAGTCTTTAACCTTCTCGGTTATACAGCTACTACAGTAGGTTTACACACTCGCAAAAAATAAAAAGCTGTAGGCCAACACAGGATAACTTCCCTATTTTTCAATTTCTTTCTTCAATCAGTTCTTCACATTACTGCTGGAGCCTTTTCGCTTCGATTTACACCTCTTTGGTGTTATAATCCCTAGCCTGGCTTTTGGAGTATTGTGTTCAGAGTATACTGAACTGGATGTTGAGGGGATAGTATTTAAAGCGGAGCTCCACCCAAAAGGGGAAGTTCCGCTTTAAGGACTGCTCCCCATTAAGGATTGGCACCTTTGGGGGGTGGGGGGGAGCGGGTACTCGAATTTGACAGATACGCGCTCCTATTTCCGGTCCGATTACCTATGTGATCGGAAACGGAAGGAGTCCTTCCTCCTTCCCTTTCTGTAGTCTTTTGGGACACGTGACAGGTCCCAGAAGACGACAGGACCATTCATGAAGCGCAGCTCTACTCGTGCTTGCACAGTGGCTACCTGACTATGAAGCCACAAGCTATCACAGCCGGGTGCCCACACTGAAGATGCTGGCCTCCTGGAATCCAGGACAGCTGGTGAAACGGGCTGCGGGGGACACACCACGGGACCGAGGGACACGTAAGTGGCTGTTTTTTTAAAAGTCAACAGCTACAGTTTTTGTAGCTGCTGACTTTTATTTTTTGACAGGTGAATGGAACTCCACTTTAAGTGGCCTTAAGGCACTGGGTTCCGTATAGGGTGCTTTCCAAACTCTGTTCTGGTAAGAGTTAGCTGCAGCACACTCCTGGTCCATAGCCACTGGCATTACCTCCACACTTGCCCTGTCTCTGAAGACTCAGTGAGTAGTCCGGTCAGGCCAAGCACTTAGTTGCTCTAGTTCCTGACTGATGAACTTACCCCTGAGGAATCAGTTCACTGTTACACCCAAGTTAAGTGACACCACTTCGGCTTCCATTGATGCAATGTGAGGATCAGGTTGTTGCTTCTTCCAGTGTTGTTTTCAGTGTTGGGTCATTTAAAACTTCTCAGATTTTCCCTTAGAAACCATTTGTTTTTTCAATTATTTAAAATAACATTGTGGCGACTCGTACCTTACATGAGACTTTCCTTTCATTCCTGCTTGTTGCACTGTGTGAACACAACACAGGTACGCATAGAGCAGGTGTGGGCAACTGTGGCCCTCCAGCTGTTGTAGAACTACAAGTCCCATGAGGCATTGCAAAACTGACAGTTACAAGCATGACTCCCAAAGGCAGAGGCATGATGGGACTTGTAGTTGACCAACAGCTGGAGAGCCACAGTTGCCCACCCCTGACATAGAGTGTAACTAAAGGCAAAACTTTTTTTTTTTTTTTTTTATATTTTAGTTTTGGATAAAGTGGAGAGGGCATAGAACACCTGTCAGTTTTTATTGATGTCTCTGTCCTCGTCTGTGAGATTCACCTTCTCTGTTTGCCATGTTTACTGTAATCAGTGAAAGTAAAGGAAAATCCCACATTTTGGGTTGACACCAAAATAGTAATATAAAGGAAATCTTCCAATGGGGACACTAGTTCTGGTGACCCTAGTGCCACGCCAGGATTCCTTCACTGTTTTAGCTATGGGACAAAAAGTGAAGGGAAATCTCCCCTATCGGACACAGATGGCAAAAAAAACTAACTGGGGTTATACCCCTTCCTTAAGTTGGCCATACATGGGTCGAATTCCCAAAGAATTTTCTTTTGAAAATCTTTTCTAAGTATTTTCATTCAAATTTCACACCATTAGCGAGCCACAGCAACGGCCGATTTTCGAATTTGAGTGATCGGGCATGTTGGAAATTTTTTGAAAAATGAATGAATGCATAAACATGCATGTGCTTATACATACATAAAATTCTTCATCCTCTTCTAGTTGCCAGTGTTGCAATTTGCAGGCATACAGTATGCTCATTAATCACTGCATTCAATCATAAAATTTTCTATTTTATTTTACGGCTCTGTACTCATCGCTGTATTACTGATCTTTGCATAGCTGTGCGCATCGTTCTATAGGCGACAATGTGCCTGTGTTCAGATCAGTAAAAAAAAAGTGGCGTTTTCTTCATACATGTGCAAGAGGCATTAAGGAATAGTGCACCTCTAAACTGACTTATTACTTTAGGCGGGATGGTGTCAGGTCTCTTTTGTCTTGGCCTGGCGGGTAGATTCCTATCAGGTCTCTTTTGTCTTGGCCTGACGGGTAGATTCCTGTAGCACCACTTGGTGAGCAGAACTCAGGGGTACTTGCACAGAATGCTGTGGAAGTAGTACAGGCATCTATGTCTGGGCAAATACAAAGAAAAATATATTTAGTACTTATTTGCCTTGCTTCCACATTTCCCCATACTTAGTTATTTGCCTTGCTGCCACATTTCCCCATACTTAGTTATTTGCCTTGCTTCCACATTTCCCCATACTTAGTTATTTGCCTTGCTGCCACATTTCCCCATACTTTGTTTTTTTTTTAATCTATTGCAAGTCCAAAAATCAGAAATCCAGTGAGCTGCTTTAGTACTTTGTACTACAGAACACTCTTTGTGTAGATAATTAGAGGGGGTGTTCTATAGTCCTGGAGAAGAGAACAGGCAGGGCTGACGGTACAACTTGTGATTTCAGTGGAAATGAGGCAGTTTTCAGATTAAACAGAAAGGAGTACGCTGGATTTCTAGCAGATCAGCAGATATTTTTCTGTACTTGCTGGGTTTTTCGTATTATTTTTGCTCAGCCTACTTCCTGTGAATTGAAACTTATCCATAAGGACTTATGAACACTATTTGCAGTGCAGCTAAGCTCTGTTTGCTAAACTATAACCGTAGTTCAAAGCACACGAGATAACACTATTTATATAAGGAACAAAGTATTGACACATAATAGCTCAGTAATGTATGTTACACTTCTGTAGATGTCGATAGATACAGTATACTTACTTGGCACATAATAGCTCAGTAATGTGTGTCACACTTCTGTAGATACAGTAGATAGATACAGTATACCTAAATTGACACATAATAGCTCAGTAATGTGTGTTACACTTCTGTAGATGTAGATATACAGTATACCTACTTGACACATAATAGCTCAGTAATGTATGTTACACTTCTATAAATGTAGATATACAGTATACCTACTTGACACATAATAGCTCAGTAATGTATGTTACACGTCTGTAGATGTAGATATATAGTATACCTACTTGACACATAATAGCTCATTAATGTATGTTACACTTCTATAAATGTAGATATACAGTATACCTACTTGACACATAATAGCTCAGTAATGTATGTTACACGTCTGTAGATGTAGATATATAGTATACCTACTTGACACAGAATAGCTCAGTAATGTGTGTTACACTTCTGTAGATGTAGATAGATACAATATACCTACTTGACACATAATAGCTGAGTAATGTATGTTACATTTCTGTAGATGTAGATAGATAGATACAGATCTACCTACTGGAATAGCTTACTTTTTTATGCTTTGCATAAAGTAAAAAGAGTTACATTTTCCACTAGGTATCAATTCATGACTTCACTGGGAGGATTGTCCACTCCTTTTCCTTTGAGGTCCATGCAGTATGGGGGCAGCCATCATTGGGGCAGAAAGGCAAAGGAGGCAATAAACGTTACGCAAAGTTCTAACCCTTCCCATCTCTACTAAAAAACATTTTTGTTTTTGTATGTGTCCCTATTGGAGAAATTTCTCATCACATCTTGCCCTGACAAGAAGTGAGGGGAAATGTCCCTACACAGATGGCGGTAAGGGCCGGGCAGATGCTCTAGCCTTTCCCCATTTGATTGAAATTAGGATTGAGAGTGAACCCGTTGTGTTCAACAAAATGTATTAATAGACATTTCAAGTAATGCGAATTTCAAGTAATCTGTTTTTCTTGGAAAGCCTGGAGAGCGCTCTTGATACTTTGCCCAGACTGTGTACAGGATGGCAACTGCCCTTTAAATCACAATTGAAGTAAATTTAAAATAGAAGCTTTTAAGATTGTTCTGAATCTTTAATTGCCAAGTAAGTCATCAGCAAGCCGTGCTGATTGGTGTGCTGTAGTGCTGTCTTGTCAGACTGCTGTATGGATACAGTCACTCCCACTCTGGGAGCAGCAAAATGTCCCGGGCAGCCTATTCTTCGGATTTGCGTCCAGTGCTGGGGAGAAAGAAAAGCACTGTAAGGATTGATACTTGATAATTGAAGCTTTATTACAATATTGAAAGCTTCCTTCTATTTTTAAAGTTTAATTGAGTTTGAAGTTGAGATTCAAGCAGGGGCGGACTAACCATTTCGAAACTCGGGCACTGCCCAAGGGCCCGGGGACAGTAGGGGGCCCCATGAGATGCCCCTGGTACCTTTTTCATAGGCTTTTTTTTGAGTTTGGGCAAGGACACAGGGGCCCCATGATCCCTTATTGCCCGGGGGCCCCATGAATTGATAGTCCGCCCCTGGATTCAAGTAAAAGTGCGGTCTAAGAATAGACATAACACAGTACCTGCTGTTACCTTTATAACACAGAGAAGCATCTTATGTGCTCTGCCCTGATTTAGTTTCACATTACTACTGGGGCCTGACATCTGAATTCATAGCTAATTCCTGCCAGCTGCCACCCCTCTTTCCAGTGAGGGTGCCCTTACTGGCCATTATGGCAGTCTCATTGGATGGTAGAATGGTAGCTGGCAGGGCATGGCCAGCAAGCCAGACCTCCATAACAAAGGGAAACTAAATCGGAGAAGAGCACAGATAGGCTTTTCTGACTATATAAACCCCCCCCACAAAAGATTAATTCTGTCAGGGGTAGAGCTTTACCCAGGGATGTAATCATTAAAGTCAATCTGCGTCCAGATCACGCACACTTGCAATTTGATAGTGATTATGAGGGATGACATTGCTAATGGGGCAAAGGAGGAGGTGGATTCTTTGTGGCTGGAGCTTCAAAGAGAAGAAATACATGGTAAATGGGTGGGTGTATGCTACAGCTAGAAAAGGTGACCAAGATGGGCAATGTTATTATTATGGGGGACTTCAGTTATCTTTATATTGACCGGGCAGACAGAATCACTCACCCAAGTCGCAGAATTTCTTGAATGTCTTGCAGGACAATTTCATATGTCAATTGGTAGATGCCCCAGCTAGAAATTAGATTCTGATTGACCTACCAATTACAAACAACATGGAGCTGATTGCAGATGTGGAAGTAAGGGATATCTTGGGAAACAGAGATCAGAGTAATTATGTTCACTATATATCATAGGAAAAGGAGACAGTAGGGTAGGATAAGAAAGAACACGGAGGAAAAATGGGAGTGCTTTAAAGGAGAAGTATGGGCTATATAAAAATATATATATACTCACCTAGGTGGATGTGGCATTAATCCAATGCTGCACCTGTCCTCTGCTGGCTCTGCACAGAGGACTGAGTGATCAAAGACTGCAATTGCTCAGTTCTCTCTCTCTGCTCTGAACAGAAAGCTGGGTCTGTCAGTCTCTGGCTCTCTGCTTCCCCCCCCCCCCCCAGTGCTCACTGGAGGGGTGGGAGGGGCTGGCTCACTGAGAGGCTGAGCCAGGTGCTGGTCCAGGGTTCTTGGTGGATCCCAACCATACGGTCGGGATCTGTTCAGAACCTGGACCAGCTCTGTGACTTCAGGCTTTTGGCTGAAAACGCACAGGATTGCAGAACTAACAGCACTCCTGTGATCCATAGGAGAAGTATAGCCAAAAAAAACTATGGCTTTAGACCATGCACTCCAAATGAGAAATGGTAGTGACACATATGCATACATACACACACACACACTGAACTGAATGGACTGATGTACCAGTCTGTACGTATCAGTCTTACCAACTATATAACAATAAAGTATTTATTCTGAAGAAAATTGTGAAGAAATTAATTTTCATACAACACAGGCATTGACATCTTTCCCTATTACTTTCTGTTAAACCAGAATATTGCCAGGCTTCCAACCCTCTATTATAAATAATCAGTAGGTGTTTCTAGTTGTTAGAAACAAACTTGAAACCCAACTCTAGAGTCTTTGTTGAAAAGAATAACTTCACAATAATAGTTTATGCATATAGGTGTATTCTATCTTCCAGTGGAAACACAGAGGTTTAATTTGGTAGCCAGGAGCCCCTGGTTTGCTGCTGCCCATGAATTGATGTAGACAGTGTGCATTTGGGACCTTATGTCTGTATGCATTCACCACTTTATACAAGTAGCAGTGGGTGCCTGCATACAGCCGTTATCCCCATGCCTAGGATAGCAGGATGTCTAGAATTAACCATGACCGTGCGTGATGTATTATTGGTCTTCTCTTCCAAGTTGATTATAGGACAGAAGGATATTCAAAAACAGGAAACCAAAGATCTACGCATACCAGCACATCTCCAGCATCATCTGTGCAGGAACTGTACCGCGTGCCAACGCCTAACCAAGAGCCTCCTCAGCCAATGCCACGGAGGATGAGTCTGGTGAGAGTTGTGGGTTCCTAGTTTCTATAATGACTGATAGATATTGGAAGAGATCTGGAATTGAAAAACTATATGATGTTGCTTTTTTATTATTATTATATATTTGTTTGCAGAGACATTTTTGACATTCCTACACAGAGGCTGAAAATTACTATGTGGCAAGTTCTACCCCCTCTAATCTCCAGAAATAGTTCCTCCCTTACCTTAAAGTGATACTAAACACACACTGTTTAATCTACATTATCCCTTCTCTGTATGTGAATGATGGCAGTGTAATTATTTTAATTAAAAAAAAAAAAACTCTTCCTGATCGATATACAGTTGTCACATGACCCAGCTCTTTCCTAGGCTGTCTTCAGGGAAACAGTGGCAGGAGTAGCATCTACTGCTCTGCTACTGGTCACATGCATGCTCAAAAAAAAACACAGCGTTTGTGATACAGAGTAAAATTGAATGTTTAATATCAATAAATTGTGATGCCCCACTAGTCTGTGTGTTAGAATAACGGGGGGCCAGGGTGGATGAGGCAGCCTGAGAGCTCCCATCCACCCTGGGCTACATAACGCTTTACCGAGCGAGGGAGCCACCGATCCAACTTGCTGTCATGCCAGGGAAGCAGTAGGCGTCTTCTACACTTGCCCGGGCCCTGCACACCCACTCTGGAGCCTTAGATTCATATTTTACTGGGAGCTCAGGACTGTGCACTGAGGGTTCCAAGATAGCGCCAGACCGCCCTGTTTCACCAGTCGCTTCTCCAGTTGCTGCCTTTGACCCAGGAGACACTATCAGCTGTGCATAGGTACACTGCACCAGCCCAGCTCTCTCACATGCCTCTACACAACACTCAGTGGAAGGCTCTGTGTATCAGAGCCCTCCCTACCAAGGGTTATATTATGCAGCTAATTACTACAGTGGAATCTTCATTTAAAGAGGCCATAGATAAAGTGAGGGTTTAGACTACAGCTATAGGTAACCAGTTGGAGACTCTAGAAACAACTCAAGAGGGCTTGGGGGATGCTTCCTGTAAGCATGATGCTATGATATAGTCCCTTCTACTACAGCTAGATGATTATGAAAATCGTGAGAGACACAGCAGAATATCCGCATATGAGGCTTACCTGAGGCCACCCACACTCAGAATTTGGTCCCCACTCTCCAAGGGATCTTTGGTCTTATACTGGGAGATACCACATCAGCCCTGGTGGAAATTGACTGGGTGCATAGGGCCCTACTACCACAACCCCAAGAAATCAACAAACACTGGGATGTTATCTGTAAGTACATAAGTATGCTGTCAAGGAGGTCATCAGGTCTGCTATGCACAGGAAGCAATACATTGACTTTGATGGAGCACACCTCCTGCTTTTCCTTGATTTATCTAAACACACCCTCATGAAAAGAGCTCTTAGCCCAGTACTTGCAGTTTTAGGACAGGAAGGGGCAGACTTATCGCTGTGGCTTCCCCTTCCAGCTTGACGCACGAAAGAAGGGGAAATCCATAACCGTTTATAATAAAAGATGACCTGCCTAAATTTCTGGAAACCTTGGAGCTCACCCCAGGTGGACTTCCAAGATTGGCGCTCCGTAGGGGACATTCCCATGCTGCAAAACCAAGAACACTGGAAACCAGCTCCCCAGTACTCCCATTGTCGCCAATGCCAATGCAGGGGTGCATCCTTCGCCACATCTCGACGGGAATGCTAACAGCTCCCAAGAGTATTCCTATTTGTTACACCGCTTGCTTGCAAGAGTCCTATTGCCTTGGCTTGTCTCCATACACCTGCCTCATTCACTCCGGGGCTGTACCCTTGGGGGATTTATTAAGGGCCCACATTACAGATCCTTTTTTTTTTTTTTTTTTTTTTTTTTTTTTTTTACTTCAGTGGCACATGACTATGTTCCTGTCTGGAAATGAGTGATACTTCAACATCATGCCCTCCCCCACTCACTGATTCATGCCCTGGAGATGTCCATTTTTCCCCTCCATGCGTCATTTGAGGACACTCAAGAGGACTCACTCCAGCATAGATAATGTTACCCACTTTACTTTCATTTTCATTGGCCTACTGCTCATGTTTAGTTTTTTCTCCTAGCCCTGGGGTAGGGCTGCTGCCTCCTATACATGGTCAGCTACCTTACCCATATAGATCTATTGCCAAAATTTGGTGATTATATTGTATTTTACAGTCTACGGGAGGACTCGGTTGTCTACCCTTGAAGGTACACACTGACCTGTGTACTTCTCGCCATGCTGGGTCTCCTGATATATATATTCTCAGCTCTCTGACTTATTGGCACTATGGTGTCCAAAATATCAGTACTTTCTAATAATGTGTTCACCATCTAAATGTGGTAGACTGTGGCAGGAATTCCACCGCCTGAATCCGTCTATTGTACAGTTTCAGGAGACCCATTTCATGGCAACTTCTTCACCTAACCTTCCACAGTCTGTCCTTAACCCTGACTGTTGCATCATCTATGGATCTCCACTAGTTACGTTTCTTGACAATGTATTATCGCAGCTACTTGATGATACATACCCAGCAAGGTGCTTAGTCGTACACCACTTAACTATACATAGACCTTAACTATACAAGCATCTTAAAGAGCGCTAAAGTCACTCCTTGAACTGTTTATGAACTTCATTTTTGGAGATTTTATTTGGTTTATGTATTATATTTAGCGCTGCACCATTCTTATATTGTCATTTAACACTGTGTACTACACTCTGTAGTCACATGGGCTGCTCAGATGCGATAGGAAGGAAATGTTCAGGGTAGAAATACACTAAAAACTGAGAATGTGCAGTATCTGCCAACACTGCTTTGCAAAATCCCCAACTGCAGTGGGGACATGGACAGAAGGGGGAGAGAGATAACAGCAGGATCAACCAGGTTTTTTTTGCAAAATATAGAAAACAAATCCTCTCGTGACTGAGTGAGTATGCACAGCAGGTAATGCAGCATTTATTGATAGTTTTTTATTTTTATGTGTTTAATGACACTTTATTCTGTGACTGTTGCAGTTTGAGGAATCCAAGCTCTGCAGTAGGGACCTTATTGCATCAAATGCTCCAACAAAGAGCACCTCATGTGTCCACAGACACAACCCATGTTGCAATGTTCAAAAATCTTTTTTTTTTTTTTTTTTTTAAAGAGTAAACCAAGGCTCAGACGGGTGAAGGCTTTGTTCGACTGCACAGCCGATAGAGAAGATGAGCTCACATTTAGCACAGGAGACATTATTGTAGTCACAGATGAGGAGGACGACAACTGGTGGGTGAGTAGCGAAACATAACTTTCTCATAGATAACTCTTTTCATAAGAACCTTGAAACAGTGTAGGCGCATATTACAAAATGGCTGGACAGTTGGATCTGCCTTAGAGATTAGCCTTACGGTTAAGTTTAGGGCAAGTTTAAGAGTGAATTGTTTGAGTCAGTTTAAGTATTGGGGGTTACATTTCAGGGATATGTTGAAGGATCCAGACAAACTTGTTAGGCTGAAGGTTAAAGAACTGCAGGGTTAAAGAATAAGTTCACTTTTTTAAAAAAAATTTGCAGGTAGTACAAATTTACATTTTTTTTTTTTGGGGGGGGAGCCTGCAAAGCATTGTACCAGCGATAAGCATATCACTGTGCCATGCAGGTCTCCTGCAGACTATCAGTGTAATCTATGTGCTTGTACCTTGTACAAGCAAACAGTTCATGGAGTCTTCCTGTCAGTGTAAAAATACCACAGCAGTCAACAGTGCCATGGTAGTTCACTGAGAACTACAAGCTGATAGCCGCAAAGGATGTTTGGGCTTGTAGTACATTCATTCACAGAACTGTGTGAATGAACGGCCGCACTTTTTTAAAAAGTGACAGCTGATAATGGGGAACTTTTCCCCATACTGCTGTCACAGAGAGAGAGGGCAGCAGGAACATGTTACATGTTCCACCCTAAAAAGGTGCACTTATCCTTTAATATTCATCTGTCCATTGGTCCCTTGCCAGTGCCAGCATTTTCTTTTGAGTGCCGGTGTTTGAGCCTTTTCATTGTCCAGCATGGGATGATGTCACTCCTACGCACTGTCTGCAGATGAGAGATACTTCAACATCATGCTCTCCCCCACTCACTGATTCATGCCCTGCAGATGTCCATTTTTCCCCTCCATGTGTCATTTGAGGACACTCAAGAGGACTCACTCCAGCATAGATAATGTTACCCGCTTTACTTTCATTTTTATTTGCGCCTAGCCCTAGGGTAGGGCTGCTGCCTCCTATACATGGTCAGCTACCTCACCCAAATGGGTCTATTGCCAAAATTTGGAGATTATATTGTATTTTGCAGTCTATGGGAGGGCTCGGTTATCTACCCTTCAAGGTACACACTGGCCTGTGTTCGGCGTGGGATGATGTTACTCCTACGCACATACAGGAGGCTGGAAATCAGAGACAAGCTTCTGTAATAAAAGCCTGTCTGCTTGCTTTTTGTTACAGTGGAACTTTAGTTCTGCTTTAAATATTAGGGGAGGTTAAAGGTTCATTTTAGGGGATAGACTAAGTTTCCAGGCTCTCATAATGTGGTTTTGCATAATGGTTATTATAGGAATCAGGTCACCTGTGGGGTTACCTGTCTTTTCCAGGAATGAAACTCTCGTCCCAAACAAGATCATTGCCACTAAAAGATAATCACTTTTGCCTTTTCCAAGTTCATATAACTCTCAGATATACAAACATTTCCAGCTGGTTCACCGAAGCGTTCACTTCATCCAGAGCTTACTCAAAGACTCTGTAAGTAAGCTCCAGATTGAGTGAAATGCGTTACACAGCCTTAACAGCAAGCGGCTTCCTTTTTTTTTTTTCTCTGTACGTTTGCCGGTGGAATCTATGGAGCTACCAGAAAATGCCAGGAACCAGCACCCTGAGTCGGAGGATTATGGAGGAAGTGTGCCTGTGGCAGAACACTACCTTCTGTATTCTACATTATTTATTATCAGCTTGTAAATTCCTAACTCATACTTTCCTTTATCTTCTCTAGAATGGCTACATCGATGGTCAGTTGCACAGAAGAGGAGTTTTCCCGGCATCCTTTGTGCACATTTTAACTGATTAGTAAGCACAATCTCAAGGACAAGACACGAGCCAAAATAAGACAATACCAGAGGTTGGGATTGTCCGATAAAAAGTTCGGATTTGGTTGTATATAATGTTGGCCATATCGCCTTTGTATGGACCACTCATTGGCCCGGTAATATAAGAGCAGGTGGCAAAAATATGGCAAAAGGACCAATTCCAACTGCTTAGACTGTGCTGGTCAATGGCCTTCTAATTAACAAGGGACCACACCATCATCACCAAATCTGTGACACTCCAAATCGTGTAATGTGAGAGATAAGAGGTTAATTGACATGCATTTTATGCTTGTGCTGTGCCTTGTAATGCATATAGCTTTGTGTCATTTTTACAGATATAATCCTATTAATGTGTCAGCTTAGCTGCAAAAGTACAATCTATACAGTACACAACTTGAAGCGGTTGTGCCCACAGTATCATCAGGAATAAAGAACCGACACTGTTCGGGTAAAAAGCTCTATATTTCATGGACATGGCACATCCATATTTCTGATATTGTGTTCAGCTGGACAAATTGTAATGGCTGCATTAAGCAAGATTCCCTTGAAGGAAATCTTATGCGGAACTAAAACTAACCACATATTGGAGACTGTGCCATGAAGTAAATGGCTGTTATAGTTGGTAAAGACCATATGACATTGGCAGGGGTGCTTACAGAAGTCAGGGTGACAACACTGCTGAGCAGTTTCATTGCAGAATGAACAGTGTTGTCACCCTGGTACAGGAAGTGTAAAATAACAGATCTGCTGGCAGGATTGACATGTAATAAACTATGTTAGAAAGAATTGTGTTAATACTCGTGACAAACTGCTCCATATATATCATTTTTGATTTTGATAATAATTCCGCTATAAAAGAATTTTGTACTGTGAGGAATATGAAGGGTGAAATTCCTCACCTCTTCCTGAAATTGCTTTTTGCTTGACTTTTTTTTGCTTTCGATACTTTAATACTTATCTGCAACAAGTAAAGTTACAATGAAGCGAGAACTCCCAATTTGTCTAATTAGGTGAGTAAGAATATTAAAGATAGCTTGTCACAACAGCAAGGCAACTACATTTTTAAAAAAAATGAGAGGTCAGCATTGACAGTCTACATACATATTCCCTTTGTAAAGGTTAAAGGAACAAGTCAGAAAATTACCAATTAACTGCCAGCTAGTCATGTGACTTTTCTGTTGAGCAATATACTTATATGATATATCTAGTTGTCTTTGTTATCAGATGTTATTATGAGCAACACATTATTAAAGAACAACCTTTGCCCTCTGTCTTCGTGAATGATCAGACTTTACTGGTAGAGATCTCCATATGTTGTCCAAGGCTGATGAAAACAATAGATTTGAGCAAGTCTACCCAACTGTTCACCCAATAATGGTGCTCTGATCTGATCTTTGCATGCACATACGCAAAAAGCCATTGGAAAAGGTCAGAATTGTAAATATTAGAGTGATTCATCCCTGTCTAATGGCATCTCTTATAACTTGACCTCTTCTGTATGAGGTGAACCAACATAGCTGATATCTGTGTATTCTTTCAATAATCCGTTGTAAACATGGTATTATCACCTCCTCCTTCCATCCCTTTGGTCACTGATTATACCCCATTTGACCTCAAAGCACAATAGGGCATTTTAGAGCCTGCTCCCATCATTCCGCACAGTTCCCCCATAGCATGGGGAGGGGTTATAACCCCTGTCAGGTTTTTACTGCTATCTGGGGCCTCATTTTACCAAACAGATGTGAATTAACTCTCAAAAGCAGTTTTATTTCTCTCTGTGTTGCTGTTGGTTTCTCATCCATTGAGGGACACAGGAAGTCTTTGACCTTGGATTATCTTGCCCCTTCAGTCTGGATGTTGGAGTACGTCACTGGATTGAATGTGCCAGGATAGCCTGGTAGTGACACTGGGCTCCATGTATGGCGCTCTCCAGACTCCGTCCTGTTACAAAGGATGCCCAGAGCCGGTTGGGCCAAGCGCCAGAAGCTACCTCAGTTATTCCCCATTCCAGTTGATATTGCAGCGGAAGGAGTTAACACTGTGTGACTGAGTGCAGAGGTAATTCACTGGGTGGAGTGTCATGCACACGCTCTGTGCTCTCCTTCCCGCCATATGGCACCATAGAATCATCACCCCGCTGCAGCTCCTGCTTGAAAAGAGCCACATGTAACGTTTATCATCAATCTGGTCCTGCTGCCCACTTACAGTGACTGATCACCTTCTGCACCCTCCTGCACATGCTGTTTCTTATTTTCTCATGGACTTATTGGCTTCTGAGCCATTGGCTGCAGAGTCTGTCTGATTTATTTATTTACTTCAGGTACTTTTATAGTGCCGTCAATTTACGCATCGCTTTACATATATATTGTGCATTCACATCAGTCCCTAACCCTCAAGGGGTGAAGAATCTAAGGTCCCTAACTCACATTCATACATACACATACTAGGGCCAGTTTAGACAGGAGCCAATTCACCTACCAGCATGTCTTTGGAGTGTGGGAGGAAACCAGAGTACCCTGAGGAAACCCACGCAGGCACAGGGAGAACATGCAAACTCCAGGCAAGTGGTGCCATGATTGGGATTCGAACCAAGGACCCTAGGACTGCCATGCGGAAGTGCTAACCATTTAGCCACTGTGCTGCCCATAGCCACTGATTCTCAGTCACTCTACTCCTTGACAGATTAGTTTACACCTCAGGAGTCCATTGCTATTAATCCCAAATTAAGAAGACCATTTTGACTCTTATTGATGCATGGCACACCGGAGGGGTCAGCCTGTTACTTCTAAAGGTGCTGTTTGAAGTCATGAGTCGTTTAAAACTCCAAAGGCCGCAAAGACTTTCCCTTTGCATCTGTATATCCAAGTATTTTTCTATGGAGATTGGAAACATCTTGAAAGTTTCTTGTTTGCCAGTGTCCAATGCCCCTGTAGGCTGCAGTATAATGCTGAAGGCTAAATACTTCCTATGTCTCTCAATGGACTCCAAGAGTAATTTTACAATGAGTACAAAAATCCAGCTTTTCCAGGCCCTCCCTGTTAGCTGTATCTTAAAATGAAATCTGCTGCTTAAAGGGTGCTTCATCCAAAAGTGATATTTTAGGTATAGATGCAGCCTGGTAGGCTAGGTAGCTTAGTATATGTCATGGGATATCTAGAGACCTCTTGGTCAAGTTTCCTCTTTCTGTTCTTGTTCATCTGAGAGTTTAGAGAGGGTGAGTCCACCCTACCTAAAATACTAATTTATATGGACTGACTCTTTAACATAAGGGCTTTGAAAAAATATTTTCTAAAAGGTAAACAGCATTACAGAACTTAGTTGTATTGTGTTAGTATATTTTTAAACAAATTCATACAATGAGGTTTTTAATTTTAGATGTCAGGAAATGTAATTTTAAGTGTCTAACTTTCATTTTTTCCAGTGCCAAATTATTAAGGGGTGAATTTGCACAAATCTCTATATTAAAGTATTGCGTGAATTCTGGCAAGTTGCATCACAAACTAGCTGCTTAAATCTCCTGATGGTATCGCAGAAGAGTTTTCATCAGGGTTCCAAGCCCCGCCCACTTAAAGTGGACCTGAACTCAAAAATTGAAGTTGCGTTGTTATAAGGAGCATTTAGAAATGTCTGCTGTGCCTAAGCAGTATGCTAAATAACAACATTTGGATTCCTCCTGAAAATGAGTAGTGCACCTTCGGTGCCTAGGCACTCCTGTTCTGTGTAGCCTCATAGTTGTATATCTGCATAATGAGATTATTTAAGGCACTGCTGAACCTGAGGAGATTTGAAGATGTCACTCCTGTGCTGCTTGCTGGAGAGGAAGTGTAATGAAGGACCTGCTTCTGTATAATTTATTATGTAGATCTCTGCTTTCTCCACCTTTCATGCTGCTTCCTTCGATATTCCCCCAGCAGTCATCAAGGGGCATTTCTAACATGAGGAAGCAAAGCCCTGCTCCTCTTCCAAGATGGCCCCTTCCACACAGAGACACAAGGCATGGTAATTTAGTTAAGGGGAAAAGATCAGCTGCAGGGAGGCTTACAGGCAATACGTATGGACCAGCCTTTGCCCTCTGGTTGCCTCTTTGGGCACAGCTTACAGAGTACAAGTCCTTCATAATGCACCCATCTCAAGTAAAGCTCCAATCTCCCTTTTAAATTTACATTGTTATGGAAAACGTAGAAGGAAAATCAAATTCCATATAGTAGGGGAAAGTTGTGGATTCTGTTATCACTGGAGTCCTCAAGAGTTATAAGAAGAAAATGATAGTTGATTGCAACAGAATTGGTAGATTTGATGATAATACATAGGACACCTTTGCCAGTATTTCCAGTGCAAACCCTGAACAAACAGCCACACCCCACTTCATTCCGTATCTGCACATATAATGACAAAATCACATAGGAAAGGCCAAATTCTGCTTAGTTTGAATAACGGAATCTCCAGCCACTGTTTTTTTTTATTTATTTATTTATTTGGATTGAATGGGAAAGGCTTAGAATTTTGATTAGTTTATACTACTGTCCATATCCCTATTGGCAAGATTGCCTTCCATTTCCTGTCCAGGTTGCATCCCCTTTGGCAAGTTTGCTGTCCACTTCCTGTCCTGGTGGCATCCCCATTGGTAGGGTTACCTTCCACTTCTTGTCCTGTTGCACGGGTTGTCACCAGGACCCACAGATAGCACACAGATAGACATAAAAAAACACAATGCAAGTTCTAACCCTTCACCTTTGACTGGAGGTGGGCTTTCATCTTCCTTGGCCTAAAAAGGTTTCATGATTTGTGGAACAGAATACTTTATGAAACATTTCTGCACAGTGTTCTAAGATGATGAAAGTTCTACAAAACTGTGATGCCCCATTTTCTGCTGTGCCCTGTACTTGCTGTACATAGACTCGTATAAATAATAATAGTTCAGGTAATATATATCTCTATTTATGCAAAAATGTTTAACTTGCCAAGAAAAAAGAAATAAAAA